GGGGAGGAGGGGGAGGAGGAGGAGGGGGAGGAGGAGGGCGAGGGCGAGGCGCGGAGGAGGAGAAGGAGGAGGGCGAGGCGCGGAGGAGGGCGAGGGCGAGGCGCGGAGGAGGAGGAGGAGGAGGAGGAGGAGGAGGAGGAGGGACTTCCCCCCTCCCGGGCTCCTCGCCGCCGACGGAGGCCCCTCCCCCCCCCCGCCGCAGTGCCCCGCAGGTGGTGCCCATGCCAAGGGCCGTTTCACGAGGCTGCCCCGGCTGCCGCGAGTCCTGGCCGGCGCCACAGCCTCTTGCCCCGAGTCGCGCGACCCGTGGCTGCCCGTGGTGCCCCGCGGGCGATGCGCCTCAGGGCTGGCGCCCCGTGCTGCCCCGATGGATCCCGAGCCGCCGCCCCGATGCCCTTCGGGTGGTGCCCTCTGGCCGCCATATCCCTGCGGTGCCTCAGCTCCTGCGACTCGTGGCTGCCGCCCTGGAGCCCTGTGCGGAATGCCCTTCGGCGGGGGGCCATGCTGCGCCCCCCAGTGGTCGCGTCTTCTGGCTTCCGCCCCCTGGCGCCCCGTGGCTTGTGAGTCGGGGTGCTGCCCCGCTGCAGCCTTCGGGGATGGACAGAGAGCCCGCTTTAGTACAACGCGGCTTCGTGGAAACGGCCTCGGGCCCACACCTGGCGGGCGCAAGCCCGGAAAAGGACGGCCGCGCCCCCCTCTCGAGAACCGAAAACGGACAGTTCACCAATCGACGTGTCAGGGTGGGAGCTCCGTCCACCCCCGAAGCATACACGACGCGCTGCACCGCGCCACAGCTGCACCACGCAGCATGCACATCGCCAGTGCGAGCGACTCCTACGTGTGGCCCGCTCTCCGGCAACCTTCGGGGCCATTCGGCTCCCCGGAGACCACAGCAGGCTTCACCCGCCGCGTCGGCGAAGCACGCCGCCGCAGTGGGCATCCCGCAACGGCGGGGAAACTGCGCCTGCCGCGCGGCAGCACCGACGCGAGGCGATCGCGGCGCGGCGGACCCCCAACGAAGAGCACCGTACCGCTCGGGAAGCAACGCCTCCTCCTCGCCCCTCCTGTGCTCCTGCCCTCCTCCTCCTCCTCCGCCGGTGCTGGAGACGCTCAACGTCGCGATGGTGCAGCAGAGTGCACTGTGTGCGCCTCGACGGATGAGGCCGACCCCGTGCATCCTCAGAGCGGCCGCTTCCCCACGGCAAGGCTTGAACATCTGCAGCGCTCGCCGTCGTCTGCTGGCTCCCCCATCCCACGGATGAGCAAGGAACGCCGTGAATACAAACTTTTCCAGAGGTCCTGCACGCCTTCGGGTCCGCGCGGACGTCCGCAAGCCTATGTCCGTGCCGATGTCAGTCAGTTCCTGGAGCCCCCTGTGGCACTCCGTCGCCGTGGCAGCACAGACTGCATGGGCCTTGGACTGGGGCCGCAGCAGACGCGGCGCAGCGACAGCTTCTCCAGTCATTGTGCCACGATTAGCAACGATGAATCAGGAACAACGGCTTTCCCCCAAACAAATGCTCTGTGAAAGCCCAATAACCTTTGTCTAAGAAGCGAATGAGTGCCTCACCGGATCTGGAATCCGACGGGCGACGTGGTCTCCAGTTACGGCGACGTTGTCTCCCGTTCTCTCGTTGCCTCCCGTGGCTCCTGTTGCCTCCCGCTGCATAGTATTAGGATTAGTCTTCGAATTGGAGTGATAGCATTAGTACCAATATGAATGTTAGTATTGGCTGTCAACATCAGTACGTGCATTGCTAACCATACAGATAGTCGCATGTGTTTTGGTATGGTGCGTCGCAGCAGTACTAGTATTGTTATCAACGTAACTATAACGTAGACTCCATTCGAATTAGTAGAATCTTCATGTGCAGTCGCAGTCGCACCATGTGTGCGAGTCTTGCCAATAGCGCCAACCATAGTAATAATACAACTCGTCATAAGCCTGCCTACGAATGAGCATTAGCATTCTAAGTACTACTGTTAGCAAGTCTTGATATTATCAGTGTGAGCAGTTAGTAATGGTAGTCATAGAGTAGGTAGTGGTCGTTCGAGTAGTAGAAGTTGTAGACATACCACTGGGAAGAGTAGCAGCAGTAGCAACATAAAACAAGTAGTTGTAGCAACAACAAATGCCACGAAAACTGCCGGCTCCTGCGGATTCGGTTTAGGGTGTTGTGCCTCAGAGGTGTCATTGTGTCGCCATGGCACCCGGCCTGGCTCTGAGGAGAGCCCCGAAAACCGGAGCCCTTCCTGAGCCCAACGTGGTTCCTTGGGGACGCGGTCCTATCGGAAGCGCTCCAATGGACAACGAGAGGAGCGGGAGGCACGGGACCAATTTCAGCACCCTGCCTGCACGGTGCGTACACGAGCAGCCTAACGACAGCGGGATCAGCATACAGGGCAGTTTTCAATACATGGGATGTTTAAAAATATTGGATTTTAATACATGGTTAATTTAGGATTGAATTTATGCATGAACTCATCGTTGTTTCTAGTACTAAATCCCTGCATTTTTAATACATGATCCGCACGCGGAGCATGTGTTAAAAACGGCACCGTACGGAGCCACCGGGCGGAGGGCGCCGCGCAGGGTGCTGGCCAGGGCAGGACTTGCAGGTGGTGCGCCACCCGCGTGCTCTCGACACTCTGCGCAGGTGGCTGGCCAGGGGCGGGGCGTTCTCGCCTGCGGCGCACCCTGGGCGGGCACCACGGACCCCACCTCGAGCTCCTCGCCAGAGCACCACCTTAGGCAGACCCATGGCCCAGCTCGTTCTGGCCATCGGCGCCCTTCCGAAGCAGTGTCATTATCGTCACCATCACCATCACAGCCAGTATCATGATCTTCACCGTTATCACTAGCACCATCATCATGACCACCACCACCCTATCATCATAGTCGTCGTTGTCAGCATCACCCGCATCACCGCCACCATCACCATCACCATTACCATAAACATTGCCAAACCATCAGTCATCGCCCTCATCCTCCTCCTCATCTTCACCATCGCCACCACCAGAATCACCCCACCACCACCACCACCACCACCACCACCACCACCACCACCACCACCACCACCACCACCACCACCACCACCACCACCACCACCACCACCACCACCACACCACATCATCATCATCATCATCATCATCATCATCATCATCATCATCATCATCATCATCATCATCATCATCATCATCATCATCATAATCATCATCATCATCACCATCATCATCAGCATCATCAGCATCATCAGCATCATCATCATCGTCGTCGGTGTCATCACCATCGTCACCACCATCACCCACACCATGATGGTCATCACCATCACCAACATCCTCATCACCACCACCACCAGCTTCATCATCGCCATCATCGTAATTAGATGTTGACATATCACCATCGTCGTCATTCCTATTCTCATCTTAATCTTTACCATCAGCAGCATTACCACCGTCGACATCCTACTACTGATCATCCTGACCTCCCCTCCGTGCTTCTGCCAAGGGCCTGCGCCGAGTGCACGCAGCCGCCAGCCGCGGAGTCCAGGGCCCACATGCAGCGCATCGCGCCCGCGCTGACGTGGTGCACGGCCCACGTGCGGCGGTGCATGTTCAGATCTGCACGCCGGTCCAGAGACAAGCGATGGCGTGAGCGTGAGACAGGCCATCGCTCGGACGTCCATTCCTTGTGTTTTTTCCGGGTTCGTGCGTGGTTTTTCCACATGTTCAAGGATGCTCCTCGAGGGGTCCTCGCCGAGAAAAAAATGCACACGTCCGAGCGATGCCAGGGAGACAGAAGCACTGACATTGGGCGCGAATTCAGGGGGAGGCGAGAGATTGGGGGGGGGAAGAAAGGTGCCCCGCTCGGACCCTGAAGGTCCTCGTCTGGACCCGAACAAGGCCCCTTTAGGGGCCCTCACGGGCCCCTTTTCTGAAGCCCTCGCTGCCCCGTATTTATCGCCCCCCCGTTGCGCGGCCTCCAGTGACAGCCTCATCCTCCTCCTCCTCCGGCACTTATTCCTGCTCCGCCCTTGCGACCATGACCATCCATGCCGGGCGGCTCGGACAAACGACGATGGACCATCCACCGCGACACGTTTGACCGAGTCCAGAAGCCCTGGATCCTCACATGCTGAGCGTCTCGCGTTCACTGCCGCCGCCTTCCGCCCACATTCCACTGATGGACCCGCCGCCGGCCATCCTCCGCCGCCTTCTGCCGAGCCAACTCGTCACGCCCTGCGGGCAACAACCTGTACAAGCATCACATGCCGAAGGCTCGGTCGGGCTTCTTGGCTTGCCGCTGGAGCACCCCGTCCCTGGTGGCGAAGCACGCCGCTGGAGGCGTCGCCACAGGGGTCCAGCGCCGATCCAGGCAATCTGCACGGATCTCCGAACATTCATTCCAATGCAGCATTGGAATGAATTTTCGGAGATCGAGGAGCACAAATCAGCATTGGCAATGCTGATTTGTGCTCCTCGCAGCTCGACGCTCCTCCTGACGGAGGATCCCGCCCTGTGCAGGAACACCAGAGGGCGATACCACGACCTCTCCGCAGAGGGCGCTGCCGACGTCGCTCGCCGCCCCGAGGCGCCACAGGCCAGGCGGGCCAGGTCCTGGGCAGGAGCTGGTCATCGCTCGGACGTCCATTTCCTGTCTTTTTTCGATTAGGACGCTCCTCGATGGTCCTCGCCGAAGGAAAAATGCACACGTCCGAGCGATGCCAAGCATCTGCTCGGGCCCCCTCTGGGAGGACTGGAGGAATGGCGCGCTGGCGGCGGCAGGCGCCGCGGCGAAAAGACAGCGAGATAAGGAGCGCACAAGGAGGTCCAAGGAACAGCCAAACGCGTTCTCGGAGTCGTGACGCTCGTCTCCAACACTCCCCTCTTCTCCCTCGCTCCCGGCCCCGGTCTTAGAGACTGCGCCGCTAGGCTGCTTTGATAAGAAGCATTGCAGGACGGGTTCAACGCAAAGACGTTGAGGTCGCGGTCGTCGACATTCAAGCTGAACTGGTCCTGTGGAGGTTTCCGATGGCACTTGCAAGTTCACGCCGTCGCCGTATTGATTCGAGCGAGCACGCGTGGTCGGAACAAGATCGTCCAGCTGCGCCAATCAGGCCGAGCTCGGCGACACTCGCATGAGGTCGAGCAAGGGGCCACTATGGCGATGCACAGTGTGGGGAGAACGGGGGCAAGAGCCAGCGGCCGCGGTGGGCCTGACCTCAGAGAAGGGCCGACAGAATTGCGACCGCGCCTGGGCCCCGCAGGGCCGAGGTGGCCCAACCGGGATGGGCCACAAAACGAAACACGAGGAACAGGATTGGGATGACACATGCGCCGAGGATCACATGAAGACTTACACCTAGCCTGCCCTCACACAGAGGCGCCCCGCGCCCTTCGATTCCTTGAAATTCCACCAGCCTGTTGGGGCGACCTCTTCAATCCTCACGTCTTGCCCTTCGGGAGGGGTGAAACCGTCCCCCTACCCCCTGCCTCTGGGTCTAAAGGGGGGGGGAAGGCGGTCGGCGAGGGGTTAGAGCATCCAAAACGGCGTCGGCGAGAAAGTACAACTCATTCACGAAGAGGCTCCCAAGAGATCCCCTAGAGGCCCGAAGATGCTCCCCCGAAGCACCCAAGACGCTTCAAGAGGCCCCCGGGATCACCACGAGGCTCCCAAGAGACCCCAAGAGAACTAGAAGAAGCTCAATATACATTCGAAGATGTTCCGAGAAGCATCCAAGAGGCCTCTTGTCTTTCTGCTCGCCTTCCTGTTCTTCCTCGTCTTCGTCCGCCTACGTAATCCTGATCCCCACTCCTCCCTCCTCCCTCCTCCCTTCGTCCTCCTCCCGCTCCACCTCCTCCTCCTCCTCCTCCTCCTCCTCCTCCTCCTCCTCCCTCCTCCTCCCCCTCCCCTCCCCCTCCCCCTCCCTCCTCCCTCCTCCTCCTCCTCCCTCCTCCTCCTCCTCCTCCTCCTCCTCCTCCTCCTCCTCCTCCTCCTCCTCCTCCTCCTCGCGCGGCGGGCAAAGTCCCCCCGGGCCCCCGTTTCCGCATCCATCTCCCCCGGACTTTCTTCCACTCGTGCTCCACCACATGCGTGATCGGGGCAACTCGCCTGGGCATCGTTTCTGGATGGGCTGGTGGGGTTGCACGAGGCGGCTAGAATTTTGGCATGATGTCACCATCCGCTAGCGGCAGGTCCGTGTCGTGACGAAGTCCGTGTTGGCTCCAGACGCCACGTGGTGCATCGCTCAGCCTTGACAGATCGCGGTTCTCGTGGCCACACGCAAGGAGTGGCCTTGCGCAAGAGTGACCTCTGGTGCGCGGCTTTGGGGGGGGGGGCCGCGGGCGGACCAGACTCAGGCGCGCAAGACGCTACTGTCGAACCGCGACCGGTGATCGGGGGACCCCATTTGTGCCCGCACCGAAGGTCACTCTGGCGAAGGGTCACTCCTACGTTTCGTTTTGTTCGTTTCGCGTGGCGGGCAGAGCTTCACAAAGCTACCCCTGAGGCAATATGCTTGTGGTACGTGTTACCCAAACCAAAGGCAGCGTGCAGCCTGAACAATGATGAGACACTTGGCAAGAATAAGACGCGCGCGACATGGAGGAGGAAGGAGGAAGAGGGGGAATGTTGAGCCCAAATGGTTCCGGAAGGCGTTGCCTCCGAAATGAAACGTTGCATTCGCCACTCATCAGATCACCGGCATTCGCCAGCCCTCGCCTGGAGTTCGCCCAGGGCGCCTTCCAGAGCGATTTTCCGACAACGCGAATCGCTCGATGCCGCCCAGGTTACGGGCCACTCTTGGCGCTCCACCTCGAGCGCCCGTGCCGGATGACCGCCGCCGCGTCGCCGCGGCACGAGCCTGCCGCACGCGCGCGCGCCGGCGACTCTGCACACACGCTGTGCCACCGCCTGTGGACGAGCGCGCTCCACTATATACTCGCAGCGGCGCTGCTCGCAGATGGCCCGGATCCGCCGCGAGGGACTTTTACGTCCAACTTTTAGAGGAAAACACTTCTTCTGGCCCCTGCGAGCAGGCACTCTGCGAGCAGTGTAGCGCGCTCGGTGAGCCCGTGTACCCGTCCACACACGGCTGCGAATCGGAAGCCGCGGTGCTGCACGGGGCCGGAGGGGGCGCACGGGTGGCGCCGGCTGGGCGCCCCGCGCCCTGCCCACCCTATAAAACGACGCGAAGATCGGGACAAAATCGGATCGGGATAACTCGAAATCTCTGAGAATCGGCGGGTTTGGAGGATGTATTGGGCGCCGCGGCCGCCCCAGAGCGTTCCGGAACGCTCTGAGAGCGCTCCGGAACGCTCTGGAGCGATTTATCCTGATCCTAGCCCTGTTTCACTCTACCCCTCTCCGCTCCGCGAATGCGCCCACCCATCTACAATCGGACCTTGGACATAGAACGTCCCTCCGCCGGCCCAAACTGAAGAGCATTCGGGGGTACCCAGCCCCAGGATGCACACAAGAACGTCCAGCAAGCACGAACACGTTCAGGTACCCTCGCCGAGACGACCTCGATCTTGTACCTCCGTCCGACTGTACAGGACCAGCTGTGCAGATCCGCCACCGTGCCTCTGGCACGAAGTGGAGTGCCCCCCAAGGCTCGCAGCTGTGCTGCTGCCGCAGCCAGGATTCTAGACGCCCCGTTTCCCCGGCGCTCCCAGGCGGGGCTGGGCGCTACTGGAGTGTCTCGCGTGGGCCTCAGGGACAGCGCTCCCGTCGAGCAGGGCCCAGAAGCGGGCAAAGAGAGTTCCGAGAAGCTCCCCGCTGGGTCCAAGAGGCCTCCGAGACGACCCAACAGCTCTCCAAGGCGTCCAAGATGGCCTCAAGACGGCCGAAGAAGCTGTCGAGACGCCTCAGGAGAGGCCCAAGAGCCTTCCGCAGAGGGCTCCGAGAGGCCAAAAAACATTGCGTATGGTTTTTCAGTGTTTTGGGGGTTCTCCACATTTCTAGCTCCCGACGCTCCAAGACGTCCCAAGAGGCCCCCAAGACCGCCCAAGCGGGCCACAAAGGTCCCTAAGACGACCCAAGAGGGCCCCAAGACGGCCCAAGACGCGCCCAAGGCAGACCAAGAGGGCCCCAAGACGACCCCAAGAGAGGCCCAAGAGGGGGAACACGAACCGAAAATCCGAGCCTTCCGCCCCAAGAGGCGCCCAGCCCCAAGAGGCCCTCAATTGGCCCCCAAGAGGCCCATGGAGGCTTCTAAGAGGCCCGAAAGAAGCCCCCAAAGGCCCCAATGTAGCACCCAGAAGCTTCAGAAGTGCCTCCAGGAGGCCCCCGAGAGGCCTCGACGAGGTCCTCACGCCTATCCAAGAGGCCTCAGGCGCACAACCCAGGCACGGTGGCGGGATGGGCCAAAGGCCATTCGATGCATCACTCCCGCAAGCGTCTGCCGCGCACAAACGCGTACTGCGCGCCGCCGCCTTCCGCGGAACTTCCGCAGCCTTCCGCCAGCGGACTTCCCCGCTCGACCTCCGCCGACGGCGCGAGACTCGCCGGAGACGATCCTCGCCGAAGACGAGTCCTCACCTGCCAGGCACGAGGCCTCGAATCTGATGCCTGGCCTGTTCGAGGGCAGGAATGCTGTCATAGAAAGATTCGCTCGGGATGCGCTCCAAGATTTCCAGAGTATCTAGCGGCCCCCTCGATTCTGCAGCGGGTGCGGGACATCAGGAAGCATGGGAAATCCTGGGGAGCCTTGGAACCTATCGGTATCATGACCTCCTGCTGCTCTGCTGTTCGGCAGAAGTGCCCCAGTGGTCCCGGTCCACCAAGCCCGCGAGCGCTACCCCGAGCGCGGGGTCGTCGGGGTGGGGCAGCCGGCTCGCCAGCTCGAGGGTGAGGCCGCCGCCGTACCTCTCCAGCTCCCCGCGCCACGCGGCTGCCACCTCGGGGGCCAGAGACTGACGATCGGGACGACGACGACGACGACGACGACGACGACGACGACGACGACGAACGACGACGACGATGACGACGACGACGACGACGACGACGACGACGACGACGACGACGACGACGACGACGACGACGACGACGACCGACGACGACGACGACGACGACGACGGCGACGACGACGACGACATCGATCGACACAGACGGCGACGATGTCGACGCAGACGGGCCCGCGCCCTCCTCCCGCTCCCTCTGGGGGGCGGCCAAGAGAGGGGGGCGCCCACGAGGGCGGGGGGCGCAGACCATGGCAGGCGGCACGTGCGATGCCGGGGACGCACCGAGATACGAAGAGGCGCCATGAAGCCATGGGGAGACAGCCTGGCCCCCGCCATGGCATCACCCCCCCTATATGAAGAACCGAACTTTAATACACCGATGCTTTTCTCCAGTCCCGCACTGAGATCCGCACGAGAAAACGGATTCTGGTGTATACGGCATCCTGGTGTGTACATTGTTTTGTTGTTTCCACGGGAAAACGGGGAGCACAATATACACCACACCACCCCGACGTCGTCCCCGACCCTCAAAGAATCCTGGGATTGAAAAACAGCCCGACACTGGTAATGTATACGTTCCAGTTTCTGACTATAGCCATCACCCCCCCCCCCTCTGCCGCTCCCTGCCCAGTCCCGATCGTGTTTTTGTTGGCCTGGGGCGCATTGAGATACGAAGAGGCGCCGTGAAGTCTGGGGAGACATCATGGCCCCCGCCAGGGCATCACACCCCCCCCTGGCCATCAGCCCCCCCTTTGTTGGAGTCCCGAAACGGTGCGGCGACAGACCGTGCGGTGACCTCGAAGTCCGAAGCCCCACCGACTCACCGCACGGTGTGGTCACCACCCCGTCTGGGGGCCCACGACCGTTGCCGCTCCCTGCCCCCTCCCGACCGTGGTTTTTTGTGCGCCAGGGCGGGCACGGAGCCGCCCGCTGCCCCGTGGGGGCCCGGGGGCGGCCGGCGGTCCCGCGTGCAGACGAGCAGTGCTCCCGCACGCGCCCCGCGGCGCGGCGGGCCCGGGCCTGCTCTTACTCATCGGGGAGGGGCCTGGCGCGCCGTCGGGCCGGCATCCCCCCGCGAGATCAAGCGCAGGTCTTCCCCGCGGGGCGGCGGCGCCCCGAGACCCCCCCAAAATGCCGAGGTTCGCGCCGAAACTGGCGACTGCGGACACACAAAGACCTGGCCCCGTGGGCCGCGTTCCGCGCGTCGACCAGCACTGAAAGCTTGCGTTGGATCTCGAGGAGGGTGGTAGGCCAGCAGAGCATCCCTCAAGAACATGAGACCCCCCGCCGGCCAAAATACACGGAAAATCGAAGGGCGCACTCCCAGGACGCGCAAAAACATCCAACAGGCACTAGCCCTCCCCGAACCGCCCTCGATCTTATACCTCGGTCTGGCTGTACACACCCAGTCGTTGGGTCGGTGATGGAGTGTGGGCGGCCCAGCTCCCGAGGAGGTGGGACGCCGGCACGTCTGCGGCGCACCGCGATGCGCATCCGACAGATCGGCGTGGTGTGCGCGTGGAGCCTGACCTGCGTGGAACTGGTGCCTCAGGGTGGAACCCTCACGAAAGAACGCACTGCATGCACATGAACGCTCGGCGGTCCGCGCGGATCCCTTGATTCGGCGCTGGACACCCCTGGTGGCGCCTCCCGCAAGATGCCCGCGCGGCCCTTCGGACGTTTGCGTATACGTCTTCCGATGTGCACTCTGACCGGCGTGAAGGAAACGGGCCCGGGGGCCCGGAGCCCCTCCCCAGGGGCCAGTGCTTCGTCCTGAGCAGTCTGTAGACGGCACTGGAGCCCGGGGAGGGCCTCGACGCCCGAGAACGGCGAGGCCACTTGGGGCCCGGTTGCCTCACGCCCCTTTCCTGCTTCACGGCAATCTCCTCGGGTGCACTGGAGAGGGGGGCCGGGCAGAGCGAGGGGGGGGGCGTCATGGCCCGAGGCATGTGCGCGAACGAAGGGGGGCCGAGGGGGGCATGGCATCAAGATTGACTGCCTGCCAGACCACCCCAACCCAACCCGAAGACCCGCGTTTCGTGTTGGGGTGGGGGGGTACGGGCTTCATGTGTGTGCTTTATTTTCAGTGTTCCCCGACCTCCTCCACCCCACTGGAAATGGAGGGCAAATCGGGGCCTTCGGGCTGGGTTGGGGTGGGTTGGTGGGTGGGAGAGAAGATCTCAGGGCCCTGGCCATTGTATCCACACGCCTCTGATCCTCGCAAGGTTCACCTTAAATGGGGCTTGGGGGTCAGGTCTGCAGAACACCCCAAACGGACGTCAAGGGGCGAAACCAACCTGTTCGCTCAAGCTGAAATTGATGACCACACCCGGCGTCCGGCCAAAACTCTGGACACGCGAGTGGCTGGATGCTGCACACCTCCGTCGGCTCGACCGGCGAGGCGTCTGACCACCTCGACGCCCCTCTGTTGGTGGCCCTGCAGAGGCAGCGGCCCTCTCGGACCCTCGGCCCTGCTCGGGGCCCCCCCCCCTCTCCCGGCGCGCTCGACCTCCGGAGCGCGGAGCCGCGCGGCAATGCCGCAGGCAGCGCTCCAAGGGGCCCAGCGGCGGCAGCGGCAGACGAGCCCGGCGGCAGGGCCTCCAGGCAGCGGCTCTAGAACGAGCGCGGCGGCATCGGCCAGGGTTGGGTCGGGCATGTCCCCCTACAGGCGGATTTTGGACGAAAGATCAAATATACCAACAAAAATGCGCCAAGCATGATCAAGAATGGGCAAACATCGTCCCCAGACTAATTTTCCACTATTCTTGAATATTCCCCCTGTAGAGTCAGAGGGACAGGCCCGACTTAAGGCCAGGGCCGGGCAGAAACCGGGCCAGCCCCTCAGAGGCCAAGCACTCCTGCCGTGCGAGCGGCCGCCTTGGGACTCTTCGCCCGCCCCTCCTCGAGAAGCTCCTTCCTGCTCCTCCCCCCTCCTCCTCCTCCTCATCGTGGTCCTTCTGGTCCTCTCTCCTCCTCCTCTCTCCTCCTCCTCCTCCTCCTTCTCCTCCGCCTCCTCCTCCTCCTCCATCTCCTCCTCCTCCTTCTCCTTCTCCCCTTTCTCCTCCACCTCCCTTTTCTCCTCCTCCTCCTCCTCTTTTTTCTCCTCCTCCTCCTCCTCCTCCTCCTCCTCCTCCTCCTCTTCCTCATGTTCCTTCCCTTGCTCCCTCCTCCTCCTCCTCCTCCTCCTCCTCCTCCACCTCCTCCTCCTCTCTCCGTCTCTCTCTCCTCCTCCTCCTCCTCCTCCTCCTCCTCCTCCTCCTCCTCCCTTTTCTCCTCCACCTCCCTTTTCTCCTCCACCTCCCTTTTCTCATCCTCCTCCCTTTTCTCCTCCTTTTTCTCCTCCTCCTCCTCCGCCAGGACGCACAACAGCGCCGTGCAGGCATCGGCCCGCATCGAGTAAGCGGCCGACCACGACCGCCGAATCGCACCGAGCCCCGCGGAGCCGATGTCGACGCCGACCTATCGGATCGAAGTGGGGCCCGGAGGGCGGGGGAGAGGACAGGGAGGGCGGGGATGGGCGCGCCAGGGAGAGCAGGTCCGCGGACATGGCCCAGAGGCTGCCGCGGGCGTAGGGCGGGAGGATGTCGCCTGGCTGGCGCTCTCGTCCCAGGTCGGACGAAAGGGGGGGGTGGAACATGTGTATATGTACACATATATGTATGTATACTTGCACATGTGTATACACACACATATATAGATAGATGTCCTAAACAGGGGGTAGCAAAAGGGTGGAGTCGCGAATCAGTAGCTCGACTACATGCAAGAGTGGCCCCGCCCCAGGCAAGAGTGGCCTGTGGTGCACAGCATCAAGGGGTCGCGGGAGGCCAAACCCGAGCGCGCAAGCCGCTGCTAGCGCGTCGCGTGACCCCATGCTCGGGAGGCCGCCGCTGCGGCGGGTTCGAAACCAGGTGCATCCAGAAGCTCGCGGACCGCCCCCCCTTTTCCTCCGCTCGGGTGGGCGCAAAGGAAGGGAGGGTAGGGGCAGGGGTGGGGTTGGAGGGACGTCGGTCATCACGGCCCGTGCAAAAAGGATGCGTGAATAATACGTTTACGTATATGAACGCAGGTATATGTATGTCTAACTACACACGCACACACATACATAATACCTCAACGCATGTACACATATCCACATATAGACATAGGCATCCAAAAACACAAACTACTTAGGTTCTGGGAATCTCCTGGACAGCCTGACAATTGTGTGACGATGCGCACGCGCACATGCAACGTGAGAGGTTCCCAACACATGGTTGGAGCACGGGATGAGCAGGTATGAATAACACGAACAGAACGCGCTAAGGAGATCAATCGCTTCAATGGGAGTTCAAGCGAGGTCCCAAGCGCAGCCAGAATGGATCCCGAGGGCAAAGGTGACCCAAGTGGTGCCCAAAAGAAGCCCCAATGAGCTCAAAGGAGGCCCCGAAACGGAACACAAATGGGGCCCGAGAGGCGTCTACAGAGGGCCCGAATATAGTTTCATGGCGCCTCAAGGGGGGGGGGGGGGGGGGGGGGGGAAGGGGGGGGAAGGGGGGGGGGAGGGCAAAACGCGCGTCAGAAAGACCATGGAGGCTCCGAGAAGGCCCCCAAGAGTGCCTCGAGCAGTGCAGGAAGAGCTCAAATTGTGGCGCCAATGTGGCCCCACCAGGTGCTCCACGAAGGACCGAAGAAGCTTCGAACAGAGATTCGTGCCAGCCCTTGGAGGGGTGGAAGAGGGGGCCCGGGGAGATCCCAAGAGGGTACCAAAAGGGCCCCAAATATTTGCTCCAAATAGACTCGTCAATGGGCCCCAGAGCGCTACAAGATGGGCTGAAGATCGTGCGAACGTGAACCCGAGGAGGCCCCAAATCAGGAGGGTCCCCAGAAGGACTCGGAAGTGGCATGAAACGACGCACAAGGTAGCCAAAGCTCCAGATGGCCCAAGGAAGCCCCAAAGGTGGCACAAGAGGGCTCCAATATGGCTTTACGAAAGCCCGGCCGACCCTTAAAACGGCCGTTCAAGGCCCGCAAAGGGCGTCGCAAGAGGCGCCCGAGAGGCGCTCCGGGAAGGCCGCACACAGAAACAAAGGGGCCCTTACTCTGTCCGCAGGAGCCTCGAAGGAACCCCGAGGGAGCCCGAGTTGGGAACGTATCCCAACATTCCCTTCTGGGGAAGGGTGCGCGTCCAGCGGAGGAACGCAGCAGGGCGGCTCCCGAAGAAAAGGAGCGCGCGTTGGGCAGCGGGTTCGAACGTGCGGGGAACCAGGGTTGGCAAGACGTATCCTTGATGCGAAGTTTTGGTGGCACCGTTAGGGTCTCGCGCGCCTGCTCGGTGCGCAAAGCTCGAATGAGAAGCCCCTCCTCCTCCCGCAGTTCTGCGGGCATCCTTCGGAATGGGGCGCGCTTCTGCAGAACATGCCGAACTGCGACGCGACGGCGGGGGCGGGGAAGGCGACGCGGATCGTCGCGGGCTTCAGGGAGGGCGGGGGCAAGACGACGGAGGAGCAATACTGCAACAAGGCTCGGCTCGCGACTGCGGCGCCGCACTCCAGAATCGAAACTGGCGCGCGCGCATGAGCGCGCGTGCGCGCGGGTGGTCCCTCCATATTGGGATTCACGCCCACGCGCGGGAGCGCCCTCGCGTGGGCGCTGGCGGGCGCGCGGGCCACGCCAAATGTCGGAGGAGAACGCGTGGACGACTGTCTGGATGACGCGCCCGCGCAGGCAGCGACATGTACGCATCATCGAATCATTGAGTGGCCACGCTGAAGGCGAGTCGCGCGGACGGGCATATTATGGGCGAGGGGCCAGCGCGAGCCGCGCCCCAAAGACTTCTACTAACGGGCGCGAGCCGGCCAAAGCAGGCGCCGACGCCGGTCGGGCCACGAAAGGGATGCGCCCGATGCGGGAGAAGCGGGGGAGGGGAGAAGGCACGGTCGCTCAGATCGCGCAGACCGTCACGGGCGCGCCGGCGGAGTGCAGGAGGGCACCTACACGCGGCTGCGCAGCGAACGGCGGGTGGCCGAAGCAAGGGAACCGCGCAGGGGAAGAACTTGCCGAGGGGCACGAAGCACGTGAAGTGGCGGCAGCCACTTCCAGAGCGCGCGATCCTTCCCTGCATCGGCCAGAGGCGGAAGGATGCGAATCTATTTTCGGCTACGCGCAAGAAGGACTCTGGGTGACCAATGGTACGCGGCTTTCGGGCAGCCTTGGATGGGGCCAAACCCAAGCGCGCAAGACGCAACAATCGCGTCGCACTCTGCGATCTGGAAGCCCTGGTGGGCCCGCAGCAAATGTCACTCCGGCGAAAAGTCACTCTTACGTGTAGCCGAGATTCGTACAAAACCACAGAGCTACTTTCGCTGGGACCGCAAATCCGCACCCATAATGGGCATGGATCCGCGCGCGGCGCCGTGCTGAACTCGGAGTTGGTGCAGCTACGAGGCGGAAGCTACGTGGGCTCGCAGTCGCTGCTGGGCCGCGGAGGCACCGCTGGACACGTCCGAAAAGAACGCCGCAAACTGTGCGCAACAAAAACAAATGGCGGTCCACAAAACCGCACGCCGCCATAATCTTCTCGGCCTCCTCGGCGTACTCGCGCGGCGGGTGTTCTTCGTGCGCCCGGTATTTGGAGTCTTCGAAGTGGACGTTGCCATTCGTCGCAGGCGGGGGCAAGTCGATCCCGCAGGCGGCAGCTGGTCGAATTTCGTACTCGTCGTCGTCGTCGTCGTCGTCGTCGTCGTCGTCGTCGTCGTCGGACGCCTCTGTCGTCAGTCTCGTCGCTGAGGCCAGGGTTGTCGTCGTCCGCGCCTGCGTCGTCACCATTCCGCCTGTGCGACTGGGTCGAAAATCCGGGCGCCGCAGGCGCCAGACCGCCGTCGCAGGCGACTCCCGGCTGCAGGGGAGGGAACCTCGGACGGCTGCCGATGCCACAGGTCGCGGAGGTTGGCTCCTGCAGACTCCCTCTGGACGCAGAGGCAGCAGCAGGCTCGACGCGGCGCGCCTCGCAGGCTGCGCACCACTCTTTCTTGGCAGCCTGCTCGCTGATCTCCGCCGGCTCCGCCGCGGCGCTCGGCGAGTGCACCCGTGCGGCGCCACCACCTGCGTGGCCCGAGGCCGCTCCAACAGCGGGAGCCGTGCCGCTGCCTGCTGGGAAGTGCGGTTGGCTGCGGCCCTTCTCCAGCTGCGGTTGGCCCGCACCCCCGCCGGCCGAGCAGCGCGTGTACCGCCCCGTGCCCTCCACGGGCCTCGGGGGACCAGAGCAGCTCGGGCAGGCCGCGGGGGGCGCGACGAACCAGAAGGACTGGATCCTTCGGGCTGGGCGAGAGGAGGGGATAGCAAAAGGGGGGTTCGAGAATCAGCTCACGTAGCTGCTTTTCCTGGCGCCTCCCGGCGCCGGAGGCGGCCATGTCTCGAGGAATGGCCCCCTCGGTGAGGCCGAAACCAGCTGCATGCAGCAGATTTCGTAACCCCCCCTTTTCCCACCCCCCCTCCTTTCGCCCGGCCCGACCAGAGCACCAGACGGCACGGTGCGGGGCAGACCGTGGTGCGCGAGCCTCGGGAGCAGGCTGCTGGAGAGAGCCCCGGAGACCCGCAGCCCGTGCGAGAGAGGCCTGCGGGGGCCGAGGTGGCCTCGGGCTGTCCTCCTCCTCCGCCCCGCCGACAGACACACGCAACCGAGCAGCCATCATTACACTGCGAGGACCACTCGGGCCTCCCGAGGCCCGCCTCGGCCCCCGAGGCCTGGGGATGGGGGTCGAGGGCCGCAGGACCAAATATAAGTACTTCTTACTTGTCGTTGGCGTCGAGGTCTTGGAGGCGCGGCGCGTCGCCGCCGCGGCCGCCTGTCGTCGGTGTCCCGGTGCCGAGGTGTTCCCCGGGCCCTCGCGGGTCGAGGGTCGAGGTCCGGAGGTCCTGGGCCACTCTCTGGCCTCTGGAGGCCCTCGGTGGTGAGGATCTTGGGGGGGGCATGCCCTGCCACGTCCTGAGAGCACGGACCATACGCGTCTGGAGGGAAGCGGCCTTGGACCCAAAAGACAGGCTATTCGTCTCGAGTTCCTGTGGGTCAGAGTAGACGGGGTCGGAGGATCGCGCCGCGTCGACGGTGCATGGACGATGCATCGGCGACGTCGGCAGTGCATCGGCGACATCAGCGTGGAGAAAATCAGGCTCCGCATCGAACCGCATCACCGATGCATCGGCGATGCGGCGAGATCCTCCGACTCCATCCACTCGGAGCCCATCTGGGAGGCCTAGACAACCCACCCTTGGGATGACCACCCCTCTACGAGCCCCCGACTCCACCACACCACCGCCCCCTCCTGGCGGGCGTGGGAGGAGGAGCACGGCGACGACGAGGGCGGGCGGGCGACAGCTGGGCTATACGACCGCGCATGCGCAGGAGGGCGCCGGGGCAATGCTCGCCGAGCAGAGGAGAGGGACAATGGGGCATCTGCCCTTCCCCTCCGCCCGCCCGGTCGATATCCTCCCTGGCCACTGGGGCGCCGTGAAGTGCAATAGCTTCCCTCGACATCAACGTGGCCTTCCTGAAGAGGTTGACCTATCAAGAGCTTGCTGAGGCTACTGGTGAGAAGGAACGTGTGGTGTGTTGTACTCTGCCGCCTGGGTCGGCCACAGTGCTTCGAACTCTCCCAGGATTCGACGAGCTCGGGCCGCGCGCGATGAGCGCGCCCGGAGGGGCGGCAACAACTGCACGCGGGCGCCGACCTGGACCAGGCCGGCCCTGGGCGCGCCGGCAAGGGGAGCGAGGCGCCCGCAGCACTGGCCCGCCGCCCCGCGGCCCACGGCGACACGAAGAGTCATGGCTCAGACTCGGAGCTTCCCCACGAGCGAAGTGGCCAAGCCTGTAAGAGAGCAGCTCTCCTGGACGCCCTGACCCTGGTCAAGGCAAACCTGGATCAGGCAGGCGTTGCAGGGTCCTGCAAGATCCTGCAGGATCCTGCACCCAAAACTGGGTCAATGCACCCCTGGCTCTGCAGGATCCTGCAAGATCTGGCGCCCTGGCTGACCCCCCTTTGCATTGACCCCTGTCTCTTGAAACCCCCAAAACGACCCTCTCGGCTCTTCGGGTCAGTCCCACGGCTTGATGTGTCCGAGGGGGGCTATGTACCATCCCCTTGCACCCTCCTTGCCCTTCCCAGAGCCCTCCGAGCGCTTCTCTCCTGCTCGTCTTGGTAATTACGCCCGAGAGGCGCACGGATAGAACTGGGTGAGATGTCCACCAACAGAAGCCTCCCAGATGGGTTCCGAGTAGATGGGGTCGGATAATCTCGCCGCATCGCCGATGCATCGACGATGGGGAGGGGGGGGAAAGACGTCCACGTCGACCTGAAATCGGTGATGCATCTCAAAACATACAGGCGATGGGCCCCCGATGGCGAAGCTACACGTTACCGGGCGGGCGGGTCGGTGCATCTCCCCTGAGCCTATCTCCCCCCTAACGTTGCTCTTACAACCCCCCTCGAAATCAAGCGCAAGTTTTCAGTGATGGTCGACGCGCAAAACGCGGCCCGTGGGGTCAGATTTTCGTATTTGAAGTCGCCGATTTGGGCGCGTGCGCTGAGATTTGGGATCCTACAAGCCTTGTCAAACATAAAAAGAAGGCTTCTGAATTCGGTGATTGTGGGATCAGCGCTACTCCAATGCTGACGGATTCCTGTTGACTCGGACGTGGTGTTGTCCAAAAACCGACCCCACCCTCTCAGCATTGAAGGACGCGACTTCTGACAAGTGCCCGGAAGTATCGTGCCCAAGGATTTCAGCTTCCGCTCCTGGATATTTTTTTGACGAGGCTTGTAGGACGCCAAACTCGCGCCGCGAGGCAAACGTGCGCTTGACTTCGAGGGGGGATGTAGCCTTCCACTCCCTGGCCTCCGGGTCTTAACTCCAGCCTCCAAGGGCTGGGCGGGATGCTCCAGACACAATTAATCCTCGATCACCCAGAAAATACGTGAAAATATGAGAAGTGGGCGGGAAGACAGACAGAAACCCAGAAAATATATGAAAATATGGGGATTGTTTTAAATTTGTGTGTATTTATTTGTGTGTCCTTGGGCCCCTTCAGTGTTGGGGGTGCGGGGGGGGGGGGGGGCGACGGGGAGCGACCGCCGGAGCGCCCTCCCGAGGCTGGAAGTCCACCGCGAACCCGCGAAGAGGCCCAAAAAGCTCGCGCCTTATAGCCCACCCGCCCCCCTTGCCGGGGGAAACCAAGAGGCATCGATGCTGCTACTGAAGGGGCCCCAGGACACACAAATAAATACACACAAATAAAAATATTCCCCATATTTTCTCATATTTTCTGGGTTTCTGTCTTCCCCACCACTTCCCATATTTTCCCATATTTTCCTGGGAGTCGACGATTGATTGTGTCTGTGTGTTCTTTTCCCCTCCTGAGCTACGCCCTGGACCTCTCCCGGGCTGCGCTCTGACGAGGACGTCAAGGCGACTCCAGCGGTGGCGACGAGGGCCTGCCATCGGCGCCGCACGCAAGAGCGACCTTTGGGGCCGGCGCGACCTTTGGGGCGCGGCGTTCTGGGGGCCGCCAGGGGACCACACCCAGGCGCGCAAGACGTCACTGCCCTCGCGTTCGGCGGTCGGGGGGCCTGGGGCCGCACCAAGGGTCACTCTCTGGCGAGAGGTCACTCCTACGTTCAGTCGACACCCAGGGGGCCCACAGGGGGGAAAACGGGGAAAGGATAGCGGTATGGGTACCTCTTCCTCGGGGATTGAGTGACCCGGGACGATCCAGACCCGGGTCAGTCGGGTCTTGCAGGATCCTGCAAGATCCTGCAGGATCCTGCACCCAAGCACGGGTCAATGCGGCCCTGGCTCTGCAGGATCCTGCAAGGCCCAGCGCTCTGACTGACCCCCGCTTGCATAGACCCCCGCCCTCAAACCCACGACGTCAAGATCTTGTTCGTGACGTCGACCCTCAGAGGTCTAGCCCCAAACCCCTGGACCAGTTTTTCATCCTGAGCCGTTTTTGGACTGTCCCGAGGCCCAGTGAGGGCCCCCATTGAGCAGGGACCGACCGTCCTGGCATTCCTATAGTCCTACCACGAAATGTTCTTAGAACCCAAACATGTTCTAAGAACAAAAACAATGGTCTTTGAACATGAACCCGATGTGTTAAAACAAGACAGACTCCGCCAGAACTGTTCTAAGAACATTTCGTGGGAGCCACAAAAAGCTCTCAGGACACTGCTTGGTGTGGCTATAGGCGAGCCAGGACGCTTCGCCACTGCTTGACGACTCCAGACGCCGAACACAGCGAACAACCTCCCGTCGTCACCCTCTGACCTTCGCTCTGGCGTTAAGTCGGGCCTGTCCCCCTACAGGGGGATTTTCGACGAAAAATGAGAAACACCACCAACATAATTTAAAAAATAGCTCAACAATCATATGGAGACTATTTTTTGAATGTGTTTCTTTTTGGAATATATGTTTGGGGTATTTTCTATTCTTCGTCGAAGATGCCCCTGTAGGGGGACACGCCTCGCCCGACAGAACTCTGGAGGGAGGCTGGCGGCGCCGAACATCGGGTGCCGCCGCTCGGGCAGCTGCTCGTACGAGTTGTAGTGCGGGTGCTCTGGCAGCGCGGCGCGCCGGCGCGCGCGCGCGCGCTGGAGGGCAGGCGCCGGCAGCGTCGGCACGAGCACCACGGGCCGCTGCTTCTCGGGTCGGGCGAAAGGGGGGGACAGCAAAGGGGGGGTTTGAGAATCAGCTCACGTAGCTGATTTTCCCGGCGCCTCCCGGCGCCGGGAGGCGCCCATGTATCGACGAATGGGCCCCTCGGTGAGGCCGAAACCAGCTGCATGCAGCAAATTTCGTAACCCCCCCTTTCCCAATCCCCCCCTTTCGCCCGGCCCGAAGCACGCTGGCGGCGGCACTCGTGTCGGGAGGCAACTGCTGCGGGAGGTCTTCGTGGGAAGGGCCAGGGCTGGGGAGAATTGAGCTATTCGTGGGGGGGTCCTTGCGCCGGATTGGGCCGCGGACTGAGCGGGATTGCGCCGGATTCAACCGGATTGAGACGGACTGGACGGGATTTAGGCCGGACTTCGGACCGGGGCAAAATAAGAATTTGACCTGCCAGAAGTTGCATCAGAGACTCGTGGGCAGCTCGAGGTGCCCCCCGGGCTTTTGCGCGCCTCCTGCCCCCCCCCTTTCGAGCACCGCCCCTGCCTCATCCTGCCCCACCACCGAGCAACCATCTCCCCCGCGCGCCGCTGCAGTGATCGGCACGCCTCCCCGACCAGATCCTCCACACTCACTCCCTTTGCTCCCTTCGCCCTCCTCGGTCCCCTGACTCTGCTGGGCATCGCCCCGGGGCCGGCTGCGAGGAAGCGCTGACACCAGGAAGGCAGGCAGCAGAGGCCCCCCCTCTCTTCCCTGCCTGCGGCCCGCCCCTGGCCGGCTCAATGGCCGATCCTGGATCCCGCACCGGGTTTGAGCCGTGGTCGAAGTTCCCCCACAGATCCTCGAGGCCCTCCGCCAAGGAGGGCAGACGCTCAGGAAGGGCTGGGACACGACCATGTGTGCACCAAGGTACGCTGGCGTTCGCCCGAAAAGCAGTATCCATCTTCTGCTGAGCGTCTCACGCTGGAGAACCTACCCCAAGGAGTGTCCACTGTATAAGGAAGCAAGTGCCTTGGACGCCCATCTCGAAGCTTCTCGAGCGGGGCGCGGCCAACGAAAGTGGCCAAGGACGGGCCGAGGAGGCAAGGATGCAAGGGTTTCCTTGGGAAGGCTGCCCATTCTTACTGTGCGGGTCGACTGTACTCGCGGTGGCGGCTGCGAACACCGTCGCTCATCCATAATCTTAAGTCGGGCCTGTCCCCCTTCAGGGGGATTTTCGACGACAAATAAAAAATACCCCCCAAAAATTTTTAAAAATAGTCCAAAAATAAGATGGGGACTATTTTTGAATATCTTTTGACCTTTTTGGAATACTCTTGGGTCTTAAAAAAAATGTCGAAAATTCCCCTGCAGGGGGACACGCCCGACTTAACCATAATCCGGCTCCTGCCCCCGGGGATCCCCGGGGTCCGATGAGCTGCCTCGGATTCGTTTCATCTGAATCGGGGATGGACAGACCTCCCTTTAGTAAAACGTGGTTTAGTGAAAACGACCTGAGGCCCAAACCTGGCGGGCGCGAGCCTGGAAAATAACGGCCGCGGTGCCCTCTCGAGAACCGAAAAAGGACAATTCACTAATCGACGTGTCACTGTTGGGGGGTCTGTCCACCCCCGACTGAAGGGGCCCTGGGACACACAAATAAATACACACAAATAAAAGGATTCCCCATATTTTCCTATATTTTCTGAATTTTTGTCTTCCCCCCCCGATCCCCATATTTTCCCATATTTTCCTGGGAGTGGACGATTCAGTGTGTCTGTGTGTTTGTTCCCCTCCTGATCATCTCATTGCAGCATCGGCCAGCATCGAGTCCAACAGGAGGAGAAAGAAGGAGGAAGACAGAGGAGGACGAGGAGGACGAAGAGGAAGTGCAGGACGGGTCGGACAGTAGGAGAAAGAAGGAGTAAGAACGAGGAGGAGGAGGAGGAGGAGGAGGAGGAGGACGAAGAGGAAGGGCAGAGCGGGTCAGAGATGGCGGTGGCTGGAGGAGAGACAGGCAAGACGAGAGGGAGAACGTGGAGGCGGATGATGCCGGACGGAGATGTGGTGGAGGAGAGGGACGAAGCGCACGAGAAGGATGACGAGTGCCAGAGATGGGGACGACAAGGGGGCAGGAGAACATCAATCCGCACCGAATCAACAACTCGGGTCGTTCGGAATGTGCGTCGGATCGGGCCGCATCGGTACGGAGCCTCGAATCGGCCGCGCCTGGACAAACGGCAAACACGATAACGTCATGCCAGCATCGAACGCATAAGATCGCTGGGGTTTCGGAATCGAATCGGATCGGACCGGCTGCCATCGATATCAAATCTGGCCGATCGGATCGAGATGGACACTATCTTCTATGTCGCCCAATCCTAATACTGCCCCTGCCGCTCCTCATCTTGACCACGCGTCCATTCCTCCCCCTGTCGTTCCCTTCTCGCGTTCTCTCTCCAGATACTGGGCGACTCATCACCGTCCTGATCCTTATCCTCTGCCCCTTCTTCCTACATCCTACCTCGTCCGTTCCCACCCTTTCCTTTTTCAAGTTCTGCTGATAGGCGTTAGAGACAAAAAGCAGTCCATGCCGAGGAGAGGCTGATGAGAGGAGGCCACGGGCAACGAGAGGGAGCGGCAAGCAGCAGATAGAGGCCTCCCAGGTGGGGTCCGGGTAGATGGGGTTGCATAATCTCGCCGCATCGCCGGTACAACGGCGATGCATCGGCCATGCACTGGCGACGCTGGCGATACATTCGAGACGTCGGCGTGGAGAAGATTGGGCACCACATCGAACCGAATCGCCGATGCATCGCCGATGCATCGGCGATGCGGCGCGATCCTCCGATCCCATCTACTCCGACTCCATCTAGGACGCCTAGAGCAGAAGACCAGGGCGAGAGGGACGAGGAGGACAAAGGGGGAGACGACGAGGAGACGCAGACGGCCGAAGCGGCGCTGGAGGGACCTCAACGCCCCTCTGACGGGGACTCCACTGACGGTACTTTGGCCAGCGACCTGGCGAACCCAACCCTCCCAGAAGTGGGCCACGCTGCTCTGCCAGAAAGAGGTCCTAAAATGGCTACTTTCGGCAACTTTCCAAAGGACCCGTTACAGGAGTTACAGGAGAAGAAAAGCCGGCGCAAACATAAACTTTTGGGGCTCCTCGCGGACTTCGGAGGCGCCTCCGGGGGGGCCCAACGCGGATCCGAGAAATCCGCGCTGAGCGCCAAAAGTTTATGTTTATGCCGTGCTGGTATTTGCTATCCGATCGAGGATTAGGTCGGGCATGTCCTCCTGCAGGCGGATCTTGGGCCAAAACTTGAAAGAATAGTCAAGCATATTTAGGAAATTGCCCCAAAAATGAAAAAAACGTCCCCCCGACTATTGTTGACTATTCTGGGATATTCCTCCTGTAGAGGACATGCCCGACTTATGACTTGAGCACGGACCGACCGTCCCGGCATTCCTATAGTCCTACCACGAGATGTTCTGAGAACCCAAAAACCTTCTGATAACAAAAACACTGGTCTTTGAACATCAGCCCGATGTGTTAAAACAGGACAGACTCCGCCAGACATGCTCTAAGAACATTTCGTGGAACCCACGAAAAGTTCTTAGAACATTGTTTGGTGGGACTTATAAGCGAGCCGAGACGCTTCGCCACTGCTTGAAGGACGACGGGGAGACGGCACGGACGAAGGTGGGCGTACTGGGTTTCGGACGCCCAAAATGGGTACGGAAAGAATGGGAACAATGCCCAGCAACAAATGTTGTCCCAAACCAACAGCGGCCGCTGTTGGGCAGGCGGCCTTCTGTCTCGAATGGACACAGGCCGCGGCGGCGTGGAGCGCGAGCCCTGTTCAAAGTGAGCAGGAGCTGCTGTCGGTCCTTGAACCCATGCTTTTCCGTGCCCATCTCGCTCGTGCAGATAAGCGAGCCGAGACGCTTCGCCACTGCTTGAATGACGACGGGGAGACGGCACGGACGAAGGTGGGCGTACCGGGTGGGGGTGGCGGCCGTGCCGCCGCCAGGCCGGCGGGCATACGCCACGGGCGGCCGCCGCTCCAGCTGCCGGAGCAGCGGCCCCGGGCGCAGGTACACCTCCGCTCCCCGCCCCCGCGGCGGAAGGAGGAGGAGGAGGAAGAGGAGGAGGAGGAGGAGGAGGAGGAGGAGGAGGAGGAGGAGGAGGCCCCGGCCAGGCTCCGCCCACGAGCGTCGACCCTCGGCGGCGGCGGCGACGACGACGACGGCGGCGCCGACGACGACGGCGGCGGCGACGGCCACGACGGCGGCGACGACCACGGCGACGATGACGGCGAGGAGGGCGACAACTATGACGATGACGACGACGACGACGAGGAGGGCGACGACGACGCCAAGGCCGGCGACGCTGGCCCGCCGCTGGAGATATGTCCCCCCTCCCCATCCCGCTCCTCGTGACGGCGGTCCTTTCGATCCATTAGACGGCACACACAACCCAAGCGACTGTTGGCGGGCATGGCCGAGGAGTAAGAATGGAGGGAGTACAGGACAACTGACGCAAGGACAGCGCCAACGGTCCATTGAAGCCCGAACGATTATCCCGCGAGCGCCGAATCCAGTGTCAAAAAACACGCCCTGGCCCTTTAGTCCTCGTCTCCGTCCTCCTCCTCCTCCTCCTCCTGCTCCTTCTTCTCCTCCTCATCCTCCTGCTCCTCCTCCTCCTCCTCATCATCAGCATAATCATATTCATCATCAACATCTAAAGTACCATCATCATCAGCATCAGCATCATCATCATCATCATCATCATCATCATCATCGTCATCAGCATCAGCATCAGCATCATCATCATCAGCATCATCATCACCATCGTCATCATCACCAGCACCAGCAGCATCATCATCATCAGAATTATCATCAGCATAATCATCATCATCATCATCATCATACTCGTCGTCAACATAATCATCATCATCAAAATCATCATCACCAGCACCATCGTCATCAGCACCACCACCACCACCATCATCATAATCAAACTATTCAATATCATCGTCATCATCATCACCATCACCATCATGATAATCGTCATCATCAGCAGGAACGGCATCATCATCAACACCATCATCACCATCAGCAGCATCATCATCCTCTTCGTCATCATCATCAGCATGATCAGCATCAACATCCACAGCACCATCATCATCATCAGCAGCATCATCATAACCATCGTCGTCGTCAACATCATCATCAACATCAACATCAGTATCACCAGCACCATCGTCATCAGCACCACTACCACCATCATCATAACCATAATTTTCATCAGCATCATCATCATCATCACCACCACCATCATCATCATCGTCATCATCAGCAGCAACGGCATCATCACCAACATCACCATCATTACCATCAGCATCATCACCATCATCACCAATATCATCCTCACAATAATCATCCTCATCAGCACAGCATCAGCATCACCGTCGTCATCGGCATCATCATGACCAACGTCGTCATTATCACCATCACCATCATCAACATCACCATGGTCGTCAACATCATCATCAACAACAATTACACCAACCTCAACATCACTATCATCATCAACACCATCAGCATCATCATCACCACCACCATCATCATCATCATTGGGATCACCATCATCATTCACTCTTCCAGTGTTTTCTTCTCTCGTCCTCCCTCTTCAACTCTTCCTCTTCATCCTCATCCTCAACCTCTTCCTCTTCATCCTCCGCCTCACTTCCCTGGCACTGGGCACTGGGAGGCGCGCAGGACACACGAGGAGGATTCTCACATTCCCCTTCCTCCTCCCCCTCCTCCTCCTCCTCTTCCTCCTCCTCCTCGTCCTCCTCATCCTCTTCATCCTCCATCTGCCCGTCCTTCTACACCCTCTCCTTCGTCTCCTCGTCGGGCTCCTCCTTCACACCCCCTCCGTCTTCCCCCTAACCAATCTCCGACGACTTGTCAATGTTCTCTGTGTCATCCGCCTCATCCCACTGCATCCGCCTCCTCAATCTCCTCCCCAGCTATCCATCCTCTCCCATCCTCCCCCCGCCATCTATGGAATCCCTTCTCACTCGTCTTTCGACTTCTCTCCCCTCCCCTCCCCTCCCCTCACGTCGTCGTCTGCTCGGACCAGGAAGCGCAGGTTCGGGAAACTCCTGGACGCCCAGTCCAGCATCGCGAAGGCCTGCGCTCTCCTCCCCCTCCGAGCGTTCCGGAGGGTCCCGGGGGAGGGGAGGGGAGGGCGGAGGGGGGAATCAGATAGGGCGGAGGGGAGGGCGGAGGGGAGGGCGGAGGGGAAGAGAGGGCGGAGGGGAGGGCGGAGGGGGGGAATCCGATAGGCCACTTCGAGCGGGCCACGCCGCACCTTCCAGCTACGGAAGCCTTGGGGAACAGCTCACAGCTGCCGAGATGCCGCTAACCCACGGACCTCGACCGGGGTGAGTGCTGACCACCACTGTTCCAAGATCCAGGACGGGCAGCGGAATCGGTACACGTCGGTCGGAAGAAGTAGGTAGAAACATGAAGTAGGAAGGCGGATATAGCAGATTGGGTCCAGATCCTCCCAGCTGCAGAGATGACAGAACACAGCAAAAGCATGTCGATTCTTGAAGTAGGAAGGCGCCTGAAGTAGGTATGGGATCCGGGAATCCAAAAATACCTACTTTCAACGACCGGCGTGTACCTCGCGCTCTCGCGCCGCCTCCCAGGAGAGAAGAGGAGGATGAGGAATCGGAGCCGAACCGCGAAGCGCAAAGCGCGAATAACTTCGCGCCCTCGAGGGCGCCCTTGCTCCACGGACCTCTACCGGGGCGAGCGCTGACCAGCACTATTCGTAAGTCGGGCCGCGTCGTGATTGTTTCAGGTCACCCCCATCCCTGCGGCTCAAGTGGGAGGAGGAGGAGGAGGAGGAGGAGGAGGAGGAGGAGGAGGAGGGACCCATCCCTGCGGCTCAAGGGGGTTGCCCCGCGACCCGACGGACCCATCGGTATCTCTCCCCCCTCTCAATCTCTCCGCGAGCGGAGGGCCAGGGGCAGGCCCTGCACCGCCCCAGCAACCACCGAGCAGGGACCGACCGTCCTGGCAGTCCCATAATCCTGCCAAGAAGTCGGGCATGCCACCCTTCAGGGGGATTTTCGACGAGAATTAAAAGATAGCTAAAACATGCCCCCAAATGGCCAAAACATACTCAAAAAATAGTCCCCTGACTATTTTTTGACTTGTTTTTTGAATATTCCCCCTGCAGAGTGACAAGCCCGACTTCATCGTACCACGAAATGTTCTTAGAACCCAAAAATGTTCGAATAACCAAAAGCAGTGTCCTTAGAACATCCACCCGATGTGACAAAACAAAGCACTTTCCGCCAAAAGTGTTCTAAGCACATGCCGTGGGAACCACAACAGGTTCCTAGAACATGGTTTGGCAGGGCTATGGGCACGCCAAGACGATTCGTCACTGCTTGAAACCAGCGTGCCAGAAAGCCCATGCCTCAGAGACTGCCGCCTTCGGCGGTGGACAAACCTCGCTTTAGCAAACCTCCCCTCAGTGAAAACGGCCTGGGACCGAAACCCGCGGACCTGGACCCGCAAAAACGACGGCCGCGACGCCCCCTCGCGAACCGAAAACGGCCAATTCGCTGATCGACGCGTCGGGGTAGGAGGTCTGTCCACCCCCGACGCCTCCGCGGCCCTGCGGCCCTGCGGCTGGCACGCGGTCCGCCCGCACGGGCGCGGCCGGGAGGGATCGGGGAGGCGGGGCCCACGAGAGTGCGGCCCCGCCGCCTCTATTCCTCCGGGCCGCGGCCTTGGCCGGCGCTGCTTCGGGAGGGAAGGGGGGGGGAGGGGACATGAGAACGGGGAGCGAGAAGAGGAGAAGGAGCGGAGGGAGAGCAGGGGGGGGAAGCTGGGGACGAGAAGGACCAGGAGGAGACGGGCGAGGAAGAGGAGCAGAAGGAGGAGGAGGAGGAGGATGAGGAGGAGGAGGAGGAGCCAAGGACGGCGTGGCCGAAGAGGCAGAAGAAAGGAACATTGCAGGGAGACTGATGCGATCGCGCGCCTTCAGCGTGACCGCGTTGTAGGCCTCGGGGGCGTCCAGCTCGACGACGTCTCCAGCCTTCGGGGCACAGCTGGAAGCCGGCGGCAGATTCGGCGGAGGGGGGATGCCGGCGCTTCTGCCTTCGCCACACCATCGCCCCACTTCCCTTCCCGTCCCCTCCGCTCTCCACTCCCAAGGTCTCCCTCTGCATCGTTAGTCGTCGTCGTCCCCCTACTCCACCCTCCTTTTCGTTCTCCTCCTCAAGCGCCTCCTTCTCCTCCTCCACTGATCCCACCTCGTCCGTCGTCCCATCTCATCGTCCTCCAACCTCGTCTTTGTCCTTCGTCCCTCCTCACCCTCCTCCCCCTCTTTCTCGCTTGCCATTCTTATCCTTGATCTCGCCCTCATCGTCCTCCTTCTCCTCCTCCTCCTCCTCCTCTTCCTCATCCGCCCCCCTTGCTTCCCCTGGCCCTTCTTCTCCCTGCTCCGCTCCTATACTCCTCCCTCCTCTTCCTTCTCCGCCCCCCCCCCCTCTTCCTCCTCCTCCTCCTCCTCCTCCACCTCCTCCTCTTCCTACTCCTCATGTATCTCCTCCTCCTCCTCCTCCGCCTCCGCCTCCTCCTCCTCCTCATCCACTAGTTTCAAGGTCGTCCTAACTGATAGCCCCATGTGCGAGCTATGCGGGTTCCAGGCGGGTACGGAGGGTCACGAGGGTTGGGGAGATTGTCCTTGCACGTCGGGCTAGAGAAGCGCGACTACCTTCTGCCCCCATCGCTGCGCGAGGGAGCTCGCGCCAACGGGCATTGGGCCTTGTAGAGCCACGGCCTGTTACCTGACCCTGTCGCCTGGTGCCTATTGCCTTCCATATATCTCAGATTGCACTGGATCTTCATATCTCCTGGAGGCCACCTGGAGTGAGAAACCTTTGGCGACGGTTCATGTGGCTCCGTGCTGGCGAACGAGCCCCGCCCGGACGATATCAAGCCCCCCCCCTCCGCGTATTGTTTTTTTACAAACCAGATTCTCATTAATCGGGTTTTCGCTTGCGTTTTTGATTCAAGATGTTGTTCCCGCTGCAGCGCTGTCCTCATTTGCGGGGTCCCACTCGTTCCGAATCGTACTCCCGCTTCAACGCTGGCCTCATTTCCGCGCTTCCGCTCGTTCCGAATCGTGCTCCAGCCCTGGCCTTCCTTCTAAATAGGCCCCGAAATCTAGAGAATGCCCCCCCCTGAAAGAAAACATCGGAAGTGATTCCACATTCGGTGCCGATTCGCTAATTTTTTGGGCCGCAGAAGCACCCCCCCTTATTTAGGGGCGTCGTCGTTTTCACAAAGTATCAAGTGGGATCCCTGTTTCTGCTTTTCAGAATGCGATGTTGAAAGCAAAGCCAGCGGGTGCTCTCGATCAGCCCCGCCTTGTGTGGAACTTTTCGGGGAGCCCAAGGAGCTAGACATGGAGCCACGACTCCAGACCGGCCCAGACCTCTCGAAGACGATCCGCTTACCCTCCGAAGAACCTGGCGCCATGCCATGACATGCTGTGCGATGTTGTGTTCTGCGCCGCTGTGCGATGCCATGCTTTGCCTTGCAATGCTGTGTGATGCAATGCTTACTGCGCAATGCCACGCCATGCTATGGCATGCTACCCTCTGCCGTCTTCTTCTACGCCATGGCATGCCGTGCTCTACCATGCATCGCGTAATCACCCTCTCGCGATCATTGCCCTGCTCGACATCCGACTGTGGAATAGAGAGGATGTCTACGCCATGGTAAGGGATGGCAGGGAGGGGTAGGACGTCAGATATGACGAGAGCGCACCTGGCGTGTCCTCCACCCCCTTCCTCTTCTCCCTCTCCTCCCGCTGCTCCCCCCCCCACCTTTCCTCCCTCCGATCGAATGGCACCGTGAGCCCCCCAAGAGACTGGGCGCCACGAGCTGGACTCAAACGTTGGCCCTGGTGACTCGCAGGCTGGGCCGCCGCGAAGCCTGGGGGGCAAGCGTTCCCCTCCTCCCTTCCTGGCTTTCGGGCCATGCCTGGGGAGACCAAAAAGGGACCGATACCGCTACTCCCTGGACCTCTCCCGAGGTGCTTTTCTGACCAAGTCTTCTGGGCGAGTCCAGCGGTGGCGACGAGAGCCTCGCAGGAGGCCGAAACAAGAACACAACGGGCGAAGGTGTAGCGTTGGGTCGGGCATGCCCTCCTGCAGGCGGATCTTGGATGAACAAAGAAAACAACCCAAAAATATTAAATGCTAGGAAAAATAGAAACAACCGTCCCCAGATTTGTTTTGCATGTTTGAATATTCCTCCTGAGGGACAGGCCCGACTGAGGGGGTAGCGGTCTGGGGCATCGCTTCCTCCCCTCGGTCCCCCGTCGGCCGCTCGGGACGATCCGCGGCCGCTGAAGGCCTGCCGGGGCCGCAGAGCCGCAGAGGATCGACGAGGACGCCCGCAACAAAAAACGCGAACCTCTCGGGGGCGCGCAAACAGGGATTGGCGAGCCCCACTCTTCTTGTTTCCCCCCTTCGCTCGCCGCCGAAAACGCTCCAGTCACAGAGCACTGTCCTCATAGCCCAAAACCGAACGGGCAACGCAACACTGCCTCGACCAGATCTGCTCTAAGAGCAGATCGGGCACACCACGGCGGGTTCTTAGAACACTCATCGGTGGGCCTCACGGCGAGCCCTTGGTGTATTACCGATCTCAACCACTTTTAGCTGGCGACGCGTTTGACTCTAGGTCCTCTTCTGGGCCAAACTGCTGCGGTGTCCCACGCGCGTGCCGTGCAGCGCGCGAGCAAGGCAGCAAGAGGTCGTCAAGAGTGCGGGGGTGAGAAAATCCGGCTGCCCACTCACCCTACCTAGGCCAACTATGCCTATGCAGCAATCTGAACACGTTCTTCTGAACCCCGATCGATGACGGGACGCAGAATGGCACATTAGAACTGTGCGTCCTCCTTGCAGGCGGGCGCCACACCAGGTCATGGAGCACTTTTTGTTGCGTCGGCGGCGAGGCACGGGACGCCTGCGCCAGCTGGAAGGCCTAAACGGGGGTGCCGCTAGGGGCAAACTGTGCCGCCATGCGAGAGGGGGAGCAGGAGGATCGGGCCGGGCGAAAGGGGGGGATAGCAAAGGGGGGGAATGAGAATCAGCTCACGTAGCTGATTCTCCCGGCGCCTCCTGGCGCCGGAGGCGGCCATGTATCGAGGAATGGGCCCCTCGGTGCCGAAACCAGCTGTATGCAGCAGATCTCGTACCCCCCCCCCTTTCCCTGTCCCCCCCTCTCGTTCGGCCCGAGAGGGGGCGGAGGTAGCGAGCCGCTCAGGGGGGCGCAGACCATAGAGCACACACATCTCGCCGCATGTCACTGCCCGAGCGGCACGGCCAGGAAAGCGCCGGCCACTGAGCTTACACCACACCAGTTCCCGGCGCGCGCGCGCGAGGGGCAACGAGGGGGGCCGGGGGGGGGGTAGGCACAGGGGGGGGGGGGGGCGACATCGACCTGGAATCGGCGATACCTCGCCAACAGATCGACGATGGGCCCCCGAGAGCGAACCCGCACGCTCCTGGGCAGGTCGGGGCTCTCCAGCCCCCATCGGAGATCAGTGGGCGATTTGGGGGCCGATGCCCATCCCCGACCATGATTGCCCCTGAGCGCGTCGCCCTTGCGCGTCGCCCTTGCGGGGCTGACGCCGCGGTCCCGGCGCCCCAGGCCGTCGTCTTGCCCGGCCGCCCCCGGACCTGCGTCCCCAGGGACGCCTCCTGCATCGACCCGGGGTTGATGACGACGACGATGAAGACGACGACGACGACGCGGACGACGACAACGACGCAGGCGACGACGACGACGACGACGACGACGACGACGACGACGACGACCCTCGCGGCGGGCCTTCCCTCCCCAGAGCCCTGCCCAAGCACGGCGCCCCTGGCCGACCCAAGCAACTCCGGGCCCTCGTCTTGGGGCCGCCTTGAGGTGAAGCCAGGACGAGGATAATTCGGGTGAGAAGAAGAAGATACGGCATAAACACAAACTGTTGGCGCTCCGCGCGGATATCTTTGATCTGCGCTGGACCCCCCTCCCTGGCGAGCGGAGCGAGCCAGGGGCGGTGCCGGAGGCGCCGCCGGGGGGGGCCCAGCGCGGATCCAAGAAATCAGGGCGGAGCGCCAAAAGTTTGCGCCAAAAGTTTATGTGTATGGCGCTTTTTCCTCGATCGAGAATGTCTGAGATCCTGCGGCTCTGGAGGATGTCTCGGGTTCTGACAGCGTGCCGGAGCGCTCTGGAACGATTGTTCATCCTCATCCTAGCCCCGTACGACGCCTCCTAGATCGACCGGGGTCTTCGTCCCAGGTCGATCTGGTTAGCGGGATGCATATGGGGGAATAAGTCCAGGGGGGGAGAGAGGCGCAACCGGAGAAGGTACAAATTGTACCGACGCCACGCAAACAAGGTACACATTGTACTTTTGACAACGTCCGCGAGATGTGCGAGGATGTCAACGGGGGGGAGAAGGTACAATTTGTACTTGCAACCCGCAGAGAAGTTACAACTTGTACCCCAACAAAACGGTACCCGATACTCATCCCCCCATGTCCTGATCCCCCCATCGCCATCCGGCCGATCTGGGGACGTCGTCGTCGCCGTCGTCGTGGCCGTATTCGTCCCGGGCCGAACCAAGCAACGCTCCAGGCCCCCATCCCGGAGCCGTCTCCAGGGGATCGGGGGGGACGGAGGGGTAGGATGGCAAAAGCAGGGCAGAAAATTAGCTGCACACGCATCTAATATATATATAGATATATATACACATGTTCTATATAGATATATAGATGATTTGTATATAACATATATATATAAATATGGTTTATATAGATTTATGTATGATATATATATATATGTATATAGGTATGTATATATACATGTATTTGTGTATATATATAACATGATATATATATACATATATATGTATAGGTGTGTGTGTATATCACGTAGCTGGCTTTCCTGGCGCCTCCTCAGCTGCGTGCAGCAAATTTCGTCCCCCCCCATTGCTCTAATCCTACTGCAGCCGAACCTAGGACAGAAGATCATCCCTCAAGAACACGAGACCCTCCGCCGGCCAAAACGCACAGAACATGGAATGATACCCTCCCCAGGGTGCACCAGATCATGCAAGAGGCACGAAGAACATCAGGGCACCCTCCCCGAATCGACCTCGATCTGATACCTCGGTCGTCGGGGACCTACTGACCCGGGTCAATCCTGGCCCGGGTCAATCAGGCGTTGCAAGATCTTGCACGATCCGGCAGGCAAACCCGGGGTCAATGCGACCCTGGCCCTGCAGGATCCTGCAAGAACCGGCGCTCTGACTGACCCCATTTGCATTGACCCCCGTCTCTTGAGCCCCGACTTGAGAACGACCGTTCTGGCCTTCCTATAGCCCTACTACGAACTGGTCTCAGAACCAACACGTGTTCTGATAACAGAAGCACAGATCTTAGAACATACGAGAGGATATGTTAACACAGGTCAGTCCCAGGGAAAACGGCTCTGAAAACCTTTCGTCCAAGCCACAACCAACTCTCTCAGAACATTGCTTGGTGGGCCTGTCGGCGGGCCCGTCCCTTGCGCTCCGAGGTCGGACTGTGCCCTGTCGCCCGGCCCGAAGGGGGAGGCCTCCGCGTCCTCCACGGCCCGCTCGCCCCCGCCGCCGGCGTCGCGGGCGCCCACGAAGAAGCGCACCGCCGTGCCTGGGCGGGGCTCTCCGGGGCGGGGCCGCCGCCGCCGCCGCGGCTCCTCCCCGAGGGGCCGCGAGGGTCGCCGCCGCGAGGGCCGCCGCCGCCGCCGCCGCCGCCGCCGCCGTCGTCGTCGCCGCCGCCGTCGTCGTCGTCGTCGTCGTCGTCGTCGTCGTCGTCGTCGTCGTCGTCGTCGTCGTCGCCGTCGCCGTCGTCGTCGTCGTCGTCGTCGGCGTCGGCGTCGGCGTCGGCGTCGGCGTCGGCGTCGGCGTCGGCATCGGCATCGGCGTCGGCGTCGGCGTCGGCGTCGGCGTCGGCGTCGGTGTCGGCGTCGTCGTCGTCGTCGTCGTCGTCGTCGTCGTCGTCGTCGTCGTCGTCGTCGTCGTCGTCGTCGTCGTCGTGGTCGTCGTCGTCTCCGTCGTCGACGTCGTCGTCGGCGTCGTCGTCGCTGCACCGCCGCGGGAGAGGGAGGGCAGGGAGGGAGGCGGATTGGAGAGGGCAGGAGGTGGAAAGGGGGGGGAGGAAACGTGAGATGAGGGGGAGGGGGAGGAGGGGGAGGGGGAGGAGCAGGGAGAGGAAGACGGTGAGGAAGAGGATACGGGAGGAGGAGGAAAGGAGGTGGAGGAGGGGAAGGCGGACGAGAAGGAGGATCAGGAAGACGAGTGGGGGTACGAGGGGAGAGGGAGGGAGGAGAAGGAGGGAGAAGGAGGAGGAGGAAGAGGAGCAACACATGAAATGGAGAAGTTGGTGAATGATGACGAGGGCTGCCATGGGGATGGTGATGAGGATACGCACGAGTAGTAGAGCACTGAGAGCATGCCGAATAGGAACCCTGAGCATGACAAGGAAGATAACCCAAGAAGATAGCATAATCCTGCGCAGTGTACTGTCCGAATCAGTAAGTTGGGCCACTCTCGTGCAAGGCTGCCCTAGCTGTGGCGATTGCTTGTATGTGTGCCCCTCACCCAGCCTGGCCTCATCGAGGACACACTGCAAAAAACACAGCATACAGCTCGACAGGCCAAGCTTTGCACGATCGCACAAACCAAAGCAAGGAGCTGAATGATCAGTCGGGGTGGGCGAGGTCAGCTGGTCGAGGCAGTCCACGACGGCTGAGCAAAGTATACGCTTTGTTGTGCGACTTTGTTTCTCCCCTCGAGGTGCCTCTCCTCACGATTCTCACGTGTCCCTCCGCCAGCCACCGTATGAAGGCGCCAAGCTGGGGGTCTCCCTCCTGCACTGGTGTGCTGCTCGAGTAGGATGTCGCCTGTCGCTCGTCAAGCATCTGGAGTCATGTCTCCTGCCCATTTGGCATGTCTCCGTTCTACTGCTTACTGTCTGTACCGGACACCCCGCAGGCCAACGAAAATCACAAAGAGTCGACCCAGAATAATTCAGCTCCTTGGCCGCCAAAGAATGCTGCAGGAATGGCATAGGAACGCCACCAGACGGCCAAGAGGGACCAACAGGCCTCTATGGTCCAAAACCCCCGAAAATTGCCCAAAGAGGCCAACGTGGCTTGAGTGACTGCAAACCAAGGCCCCCAACAACCCACCAAGGGGTCCCAAGAATATCCCGAGAAGGCAAACCAGCAAAGACGCGTGTTAGTTTGTTAGGTCAGTGAATGTTGCTTATTTCACGTCTTGCTACCAAAATGTTCCACAAGGGCTTCAACACGGCCCCATCGAGGCCTCACGGCTTGTCTCATGATGCCCAAGACTGCCCCCCCCATCCCTGTTCCTTATTATTTTAGAAGGGGGAAAGGGGTGCGGTGCAAAAGGGTATGGTTCAATGGGGCGGTATGGTGATATTCTGGTTGACGTGGTTCGCTTTGGAGCTGATGCATCATATTAAGATGTGCATGCGTTCGTGGTTGCAGTTGCTCTCGCACTGCAGTTCTGGCGCATCCAAGCGATGGTGGCAAATTGGCCATTGATGCGATGCCTCTTTGTTTGCTCGGCTGTTTGGTTTTGCCTGTGTTTGTGCGCGGCTGGCGTGCAGCGTTGCCGTGCTACTGCCGACAACATGGTTCCGTAAGAAAAAAACGACGTCTTCTCAGCTCTCTCATCCTTTTCTCCATGGCCTTGATCGCCCTATGCAGGTCTGTCCTCATGCGCGCCTCGCCGCCCTCCATCCCCACCCAACGTTTGAGTTTATCCGCTGTCGTTTTGCTTTTTATTGCGGATGTGAGGTCGTCGCACGCGCGGCGCTGTGCAGTTGGCAGCGATACCCCTCTGAATGATGGTTGCAGTCGTCGGCGGCGTCTTTTTGTCAATGGCTGCCGCGGTAGCGTTGCACGGTGGCTGTCGTTTCGGCGATTGCGCATGGGTGACCACAGGCTTTGTGATTGCCGCGATTGCTATCATCAGTGGCCTACGACCCCCAGCGCGCAGTATTGGATCCAGTCGGATTTTCTCTCGCTTGTGACCCCTCCCCCCCGCGCGCACGCATTCCCAACGCAGCGCTCGGTGGCCTGATCGGGAACTCCTTCGGAGGTGTCAGTGGTAGATCTCGCGCGCGGCTCATTGCAACGCTTAGTGGCCACATATGGAGCTCACCGAAAGCAGCGGCGGCGGATCTCGCCTGCGCCCCCCTCGCCCAGCGCATCGCTTTGAAGCCCAAAGCGAAGCGCCACCTAAGGTCCCAGCGGCGGAAACCGCATGCGCTTCCCCCATTCAATGCGGCGCGTGGTGCATTGTGAGCTTCGCTGAAGGCCCCGGCGAGGGAATTCGAATGCGTTTCCCACGCCCACCACGGCGGTTCGCGGACCCATGGGGAGCCCCATCGAAGGCCCCAGCTTTCGAATTCGCTGCGGTTTCTCTATATCCCGCGCGGCGCTTCGCAGTCCCATGGGGTCTCCACCGCAGGCCCCCGCGGCTGCGCTCGCGTTCGTGCATCCAACCGCGCACAACGCCTCGTGGGCCCATGTGGATCTCCAACTTTGACGATGCCTCTTCGGCGGAGTTGCAGAAGTCATACGGGCGGGTCTCTCTCTCTCCAGAAAATTAGCTTTGAATGCAAATGTTGGCGCCGCGGGCGCATCCGCGATGAGATGCCGCCCAGGGGGATCTGGACAGGCCCCCATCTCACTTCTCCGGCGGTTCCTTGGCGGAGCTTTTCTTGGACATGCAGGCGCGTCGCGCGGTGGCCACCTCTTCTGGCGGCTCTGAGGTTCCAGGGGTCTGGCATTCAAATTTAGGACTTTCGGCATTGTCGCGTTGAAATTTCGGAATTTCCGGAATTTCGTCTTTCAAATTTCGGAATTTCAGGCAATTCGTTTTTTTTTTTTTTTCTTTTCCAAAATTCGGAATTTTCCGGAATTTCGTTTTGCCTCTAAAAAACCAGCCGTTTTGAAAATTCGGAAATTCCGGAATTTCGTTTTTCAAATTTCGAAATTTCCGGAATTTCCTTTTTTTTTTTTTTTTTTTTTTTTTTTCTTCAAATTTCGGAATTTCTGGAATTTCGTTTTTCAAATTTCGGAAATTCCGAAATTCCGTTCTTGATAGTTCGGATTCTAGTAGGCGAAAGCATGATATATTCATGCGCAGTTGCGTGCGATCGCAGCGAGGGCAGGTGCCGGCGGATAGAGGGATGCAGGGAAAACCTGTGGTGGCGGAGGAGGCAGATCATGAAAGCGCGTCTGAGAGACCAGTCGGCGCTTTAGACAGCAGGGCGGCGAAGTCACGAAATTAAGTGTAGGGAAATTGCGGGGCGCACCAAACATGTCGCGCATTGTGATTTTACAAGGCAGCGCAGCTCAGCGCATCTGTTACGATGATTGTTTCGTGGGCGGGGGGTGGAGGTTGAGCGTTGGAACAGAAGCCGTCCTACATCGCAGTTTTGGCGCGGCGCCAGATTGAAATCGCCGCGGGCCCTGTTTTGACTTCCAAGGCCCTTTTCGGCGGACGTGTGAGCAACGTGTAGAATCCTATGTTTTGACACGCCCTGTTTCCCATGCCTGCCCAGCCCATTCGCGCCCGCATGCCGCGGGCCACTTTGCCGCAACGCCGCAATTCAAATGTTCTTTTGCGCCTAGCTAGGGCGACCCGAGGGAACATCGATGCGACCGTTCGCGATTCCCCGTGGAACTTCGCCGAGACAGAGACAGCCCGACCAGTGACGCGTGATATTCCGCGCGTTGCGCTCCTTGGGCCAGTGGCCGACTGAGTGAAACTTTCCCTAGTGGGACATGCAAGTCGGGGAGGGGCGCGCGTGGGGTCTCTGCTTGTCGCCGGGCTGCAAAGTAAAAGGGCGCATGTTGATGCGCCTGGTGAATATCTCTACACGGCCATGCATTCTTGTGCTCGGCGCCATGTCCAGTTCGCGTTTCCCATGCAGCGCGTTCAAACGAATCCGACAATGGGGGGCGGACCCCGAGCGTCCGTTTCGCCCCCGGTGACAGAGTCGCGCGGCTCAGGCTTGCCGCGCGCGCCCGCGCGCGTGGCGCGGCCAAGGGAAGGCAAATGGGAAGTGATGTTTCCTTTGGAAAGCGGTGGGGCAATGATGCGGGGAGCGGCGTAGCAGAAAAGGGTGGGTAGAAGAGGGTTTTTCGCATTATGACGAGTCGGGGGGCGGTCATATTCGCAATCCTTCCGGGGCACCGAACCCTTCCCTCGATCCGACGGCGGGCTTGCGCGGAACACCTTCTCAACGCGATGATTGCGTCAATCATGCCAATGCTTATGACTCACGTTTCTGTGACACACTAGAGGTCCACATCCGTTTTTGCATTACCATCCGATCGTTTGTATACCCCCTGCATCCGCTCCCACCTTGAAGTGGCCCACTCAGAGCAGCGGTGCCAGCGTTGCTTTGGATTCGGCCGCGTGTGCCGCAGATGGCAACGCAGCGGAGTCGCCCATATTGTTGTTTCTATGGGCATGCAGGGGGTCCACACCACACCCCTTCACACCGCACCCCTTTCCATCTTCTAAAATTATTATATGCCCCCGCCTACCTCGTATTCCGGCCGATAGCAACCCGACCCGGGACCTCCCATCCGGACTGTAAAAAATCAATACAAAGTAACAATTTTCCTTCACAGCATCGTCTTTCTTGTCGTCGACGATGCGAAAAGCGTGGCATGAATGGGATGCGGCGCGCATCGCGCGCGGCAGTCAATCTGGGCCCGCCCATCCTGACTGTTAAAAATCAATACAAAGTCTTCGTCTTTTCCTCTCAGCATGGCCTGCCTTGTCGCCGAAAGATCGAAATATGTCGCAACAGTGGGACGCGGCGCACATTCTGGACGCGGCGCACATCGCGCGCGGCCGTCAATCTGGGCCCGCCCATCCGGACTGTAAAAAATCAATACAAAAACTCCGTTTTTTCCTCTCAGCATGGCCTGCCTTGTCGCCGACGGTGCGAAATATGTGGCAGGAGCGGGACGCGGCGCACATCGCGCGCGGACGTTCATGCGGGCTGCGGGCCCTCCCATCCTGATTTTAAAAAACAATATAGAGTTGTCGTTTTTCCTTTCATCATGGCCTGTCTTGTCGTCGACGATGCGAAATGCGTGGCAGGAATGGGGCGCGGCGCACATCGCGCGCGGACTTCTGGGGCAATCCCAAGGCGGGAGGGACCACCTTACTTGTCAGAAGTAATGCCATGCTGATTTTCCCTGCCCACATAACTGTTCTTGTCGTCCACCCCGCAAAAGTGCATGGCAAGAATTGGGCGCGGCGCACCCCCTTCCCCCCCCGCTCGAAGTGAATGAAATGACCTTTTTCGATTGGGTGCCGAGCAGAATTTTCTCAAAGTTGCGCTCCCGCTTTGGCTCGGCGCACGTTTTTAGTTCGCCAATTCATTGGGCGCCGGGGCCTTCCAGGAGGCCCTGGGGCGACGAATGCCTGGGAGGTCTTTGCTTGTTCAGGCTCTTGGAGGGCCTCCTGAGGCTCCCCGCGGTTTCTTGGCGCTACGTCTGGAGGCCATCTTGAACGTCTTGGAACGGTCTTTCGGCGACTCAGGGCTACTACTACTACTACTACTACTACTACTACTACTACTACTACTACTACTACTACTACTACTACTACTACTACTACTACTACTACTACTACTACTACTACTACTACTACTACTACTACTACTACTACTACTACTACTACTACTACTACTACTACTACTACTACTACTACTACTACTACTACTACTACTACTACTACTACTACTACTACTACTACTACTACTACTACTACTACTACTACTACTACTACTACTACTACTACTACTACTACTACTACTACTACTACTACTACTACTACTACTACTACTACTACGACTACTACTACTACTACGACTACTACTACTACTACTACTACTACTACTACTACTACTACTACTACTACTACTACTACTACTACTACTACTACTACTACTACTACTACTACTACTACTACTACTACTACTACTACTACGACTACGACTACTACTACTACTACGACTACGACTACTACTACTACGACTACGACTACGACTACGACACTACTACTACTACTACTACTACTACTACTACTACTACTACTACTACTACTACTACTACTACTACTACTACTACTACTACTACTACTACTACTACTACTACTACTACTACTACTACTACTACTACTACCACTACGCGCCAGCACCCAGTTGCGCCAGCATTGTTTCTCATGTTGTGGGAGGGCGGAACGTGTCCGTTGTTCCTTTCAACATGGCCAGTCTTGTCGTCAACGATGCGAAATGCGTGGCGGGAATGGGACGCGGCCCACATCCCGCGCGGACGTCAATGCGATGTCCTGGGGTATCCTCCACTCGCACTGAAATGCCCGCGCAGCCCCCAGTTGTGCCATCACTGTTTCTTATGTTGTGGGAGGGCGGGTGGGAATGGGCATGCCATGCTTGACTCGCTCGAGCTGGCTAGCTTGACCTACACCCACACCCACACCCACACCCACACACACCGACACACACACACACGCACGCACGCACGCACGCACGCACGCACGCACACACACACACACACACACACACACACACACACACACGCACTCACACACACAAAACAAAACAAAAACAAGTTCAACAAGGCCAGCAGAGCATTTGCCGCCACGAGGTCCCCAAGGCTCCACGACGCCCCCCTGCGGCTTCCATGTGGTCCAACCGGGTCTCCAAGAGTGACCCGAGAGGGCCCCACCACGGCCTCGAGACGGCTCCGTCTCGTGGGGGTCCACCCCATCATGTGTGTTTCGTCCGGTGGCACCCACCGCAGTGCTCGGGTCCCAATTACCCTTCCCCTCTCGTGCCCTCCTTTGTGTTTGTTGGTGGAGGGAGGAGGGGAGAGCGACCACGAAACTTCACATGCCCCGTGCCGCAGGCGCCGGTTGGAGCGGACAAATCATCCTGCCACCCTGGGCAGGCAGAAGCCAGCAAGAGGAGCTGTCCGTGACAAGTATTGCCCGGGCGAGCGCGCGACGAGGAGGCCTCATTCTCTATCGCTCTAGATACGCCTCCACCCCCTCCATTCTACAGCGTCTCCTGGTTGCCTGCTCAATCCAAGCGCGTGCCGGCCATATGCAGCCCTCTGGCCTCATGCATGACCGCTGCCACACTCGGGTGGTCGCCACCGGGGCAACAAACGTGGGGTGAAGGAACGCACACCTGCTGGGCCCGCGGTGGCCGTTCAGGGGCTGCTTAGGCCACTTGCCTGCAATCCTCGATCCAGCCAAGTTTGTTGCCCCCGCTCTTGTCGTCAGCCCAAGCCGCACGTCCAATGAGGCTGTCTCATGTAGCAGAGGGATATGTCGACCCCTATCCCAGGCTTCGTGGGGTTTCGAATGGACCAGAATCTCAGACCCAACCCTGGGATGCACGATGGGGGGGCGTCTATCCTCGATAAGGGGTGCGTCCGAAGAGCCCCCTGGGGATAGTATACCATGGTTCCCCTCCCTTTCTGAGCGGCTTCATGCTTCGTCACAAATTCGGGGGTGGGGGGAGGGAGACCGCTTGCGATCACGGCCCCCCCCGCCTGCCGCGAGCTCGGACGCCCAGGTCTCGCGGATGCCCCTGCGCAGCGCCAGCCCCGAGCGGCGGCTCATGACGCACACCGCGATGCCCACGGCCTCGGGGTCGCCTGCCGGGAGCCGACCGCCCAGAGCGACGCGACCGACCCTGGGCGCTGGCTTCGGGAGGGGGGGGGGACTGCGTGCGTTTGGAAGTGGCACTCGCCATCAACAAGAACATACAAAACACTCAGAGAGCTGCTTCTTTTTGACGGCGAAGAATAAACCAGAAAACATGCGGCACCACCCCACGTACGGCCCCAGGGGGCATAGCGTATCCCAAGAAATCTGGGTTGGGTTCCTGCGTGGTAGACGCTACGGCCCCCAATAGGCCGTAGCGCAACATGGAGGGCCGTAGGTGGGGTAGTGCCGTTTGCTTTGTTGGTCGAAATTCGGCTCCCCAAACGCGCAGTTCCCTCAAGTGTTTGGGATGCCGAATCTGGATTCCGCATACACGCAGTCTTGGATGTCGAATCCGACTTCCAACAAAACACATAGCTTCTGTATGCCGAATTCGGCTTTGAAAAACACGCGAACTCCTGCGATTCGAGATGCGCACCGTTGCTAGCTCGCTTGCTGACAGGGGTCGGTCAACTGGCGCGGTGTGACAAACAATGCAACAACCATGCAGGGACAAACCGACTACACGCGCGCTCTGCCCCGACCCCTGCCGTGCGTACGTAGCCCAGGAACGGCCACGCAAGACGTCCAGAGACCGAGTATCGTTGAACAGATCCCGATCCCCAGCGGCGTGGCCTGGGCCCCGCTGGTCCATTTACCCACCCTGGATGGGGGTACAGGCCGTTCCCTCCGGGCTCCGAGGGGTGTATCCCCAACTGGGGTGGTGAGTTGGTGGGGGTCCCGAGAAGGGATGGGGACGGGGATGGGGATCGGATATGAAGGCTACCGAGCGACTGGGGCCTCCGCCGACGACGACCTTCTGCGACCTAGGATCCCCCTCCTGGCACGAAGGAAAACTGCGCCAAAGTGCGGGTGCCAGGGACGTGTCGCGCTCCCGCCAGAGCCAAATTTCTGCGACGGCATAGCTCTCCTCGGCCAAATCTCTGCGACGGCATGCGGGCAACGGCATGGCGGCAATCCGCCCACTGAAGGCACACGTGCTCTCGCCAGAGGCAGCCACGTTTGCCTTCAGTGGGCTCGCTGCCGCCATCCCGGTGCAAGCATGCGCCCCGTTCTGAAAGCAGCTCAGGGAAGCTCTTGGTCGTCCCCGTGACGCCAAATAGCGCGCCCGCTCGCACGCAAAGCGGACAGAATGCATCTCCCTCGCATGCCGCCACTGGGCGCTGTCGGTCTCTAGTGGGCGCTTCTTGAGCGCGATTCGGCGCCGGAAGGCTTTGACGGTGGGGGGCTGCAAGGGCCGAGTCCGGCAAGCTGGGTAAGGTCTGGTCTCGCTCCTACCTCCCGCTGGAAAAATGCATCAAGATCTTCAGCGCGTGCGTGGTTTCGAAATTGATGCACACCGTCCACACCTCATGGATGAAAGTGGCAAGGCTGTCGAAAGTGTATGCTTTTCACGCGCTGTCTTACAAAGATATTACACGTCCCGCATTGGAACGTGAGCCGGGTGACCACCCACACTGATCTCAGCCGAGTGAGGCACAGCAAACTGAGAATCTGCATGAGAGCGCCAAGTGGTCTTGTTTGGGAACCATCGTGCGAATGAGCGATAACCATCAGCGTTGTATTCAAGCCGTCGACTGTTGAGCCGCAAGTTATCCGGGGTAACTCGGGCCCGGGGTAACTCGGGTTTGGATTCCCGAAAAACGAACCCGAGTAAGCCCTGACGCTGTTCATCCACTGTCTGCAGTTCGGGATGGTGCGGATGATGATGCTGGCGTTCGTGCTCTGCCCGCTCTTGCTGCCGCTGGTGTCGGGAGCCGCCATGAAGATGCCGCTCAGGACTCAGGTGTGGATCTTCGTGGTCTGCGGTCGGCTCTGCATTATCCCTGATGATTTGGGGCTCTGGACGCCCGAGTTATCCGGGGTAACTCGGGCCCGGGGCAACTCGGGTTCGGATTCCCGAAAAACGAACCCGAGTTAGCCCTGACCTGAGTTACCCCTGATGATTCGGGTCTCTGAGCATTTGCCTGATATTGCTGCCCTCCCGGCGACCGTGTGGAGGCGAGCTTTCTCACTCCCGCGCTGATGCGTCGCTGCTGCTGGCTCTCGAGAGCCCGCCGCCCTGGCTCCTTCTCCTCCGTCTCCCCCCGCTCCTCCCGCCACTCTTAGGTCGGGCCTGCCCCCCTACAGGGGGATTTTCGACGAAAAAAACAAAATACCCCAAAAAGAATGAAAAGAAATACTCCAAAGATAGTCTGGGGAGTATGGTTTGAACTTTTGTTTGGCCTTTTTGGAATATTTTGGGGGCAGTTTTTGTTTTTTCGTCGAAAATCCCCTTGTAGGGGGACACGTCCGACTTGACGCCACTCCCTCCGAGCCTCCCCTTCCCCTCCCTCTTTTGCTCCTCGCTTCCCTCCGCGCTGCCTCGCCCCGAGGCGGCGGAAAAATCGCGCTGCCCGCCACGCGTGGCGCGGGCGCGCTCGGCCTGCGCAGCGTGCACTGCCCGCGTGCCGCACCGGACGCACGGCGCGCCTCCTCTCCCGGGCGCTGCACGGCGCCACCTGGCGTCAAGTCGGGCGTGTCCCCCTACAGGGGGATTTTCGACGAAGGATAAAGAATACGCAAAACCAGCATGGTCACAAAAAAGACTCCCAAAATAGGCCCAGACCATTTTTGGACTACTTTTGAATACTCCCCCTGTGGAGGGCCAGGCGCGACTTAAATCTGGGGCTGTGGGGTGCTGTGCGCCCGTGCCGTTCACGTCCATCTGCAATGCAAGACGAGCGGGAGCTTCTGGGATCGCCTATCTATAGCCCCCTCCGCCCTCCGATTCCCCGGTTCGAGGCCCCCCAGATGGGGTCCGAGCAGATGTGGTCGGAGGACCTCGCCGAATCGCCGATGCATCAGCGACGCATCGCCGGTGCATCGCCGATGCATCGGCGACACGTCGGCGGTGCATCGGCGACGGCGGCGAGGAGAACATCGGGCCCCACATCGAGCCACATCGCCGATGCATCGCCGATGCATCGGCGGTGCGGCGAGATCCTCCGACCCCATCTAGGAGGCCCAGACTCGTGCGAGCAGCCCGCCGGGTCACCGCCGGCGCCGCGGCCACTGGCGGCCTCCAGCCGGCTCCGCCGGCCGCGCTCCGCGCACAGGGCGCAGGCCGCGGACGCCAGGCGCCTCGCCAGGGGCTGCCGGTAGCGGTAGCGGAAGAGCTCCTCGGCCGGCGGGGTCGGAGGGGATCGGGGAGGGCCGTGGGCTGGCCATCGCTCGGACGTCCGTTCCCCGTGTTTTTTTTCGGTTTCGTGCGTGGTGTTTTCGCCAAATGATCGAGGATGCTCCTCGATTGTCCTCGCCGAAGGAAAAAGGCACACGTCCAAGCGATGCCAAGTGGGGGAGGATCGAGGGGACGAGGGGACGAGGAGGATCGAAGACCGACGGAGGCTCGATGGGGAGGAGGAGGGTCGAGGATCGAGGACGCAGATCGACCGAGGGGCGATAGAGGATCGAGGGGGGGAGAGGGATCGCGGATCGACCGAGGATCGAGGAGGAGATTGAGGATCGATCGAGGATCGAGGGGGGGGAGGAGGTGAAGGAAGATGGAGCAGGAGGGTCTAGGACCCAGTGAGGACTGAGGGGAGGAGGATCGAGGACCGAGGATCGATCGAGGATCGAGGGGAGGGCGATCGAAGACCGAGGGATGCATCGATGGGTCGAGGGGGGAGGACCGCGGATCGATGGGGAGGATGGGGCAAGGGAGGGGCGGGAGGGGCGTCGAGGATCGAGGATCGAGTGGCTGCTCTGGAGCACCGGCGCTTCTGCTTCCTGCTCGGGCTCCCAGGCGCCTCCGCGGGGGCTCCCGCAGAACCCCAGAGGCCTGCAGGAGAGCGGCGCAGAGTGGACGGGAGCGCACACAAGCGGCATAAGCTACTCTCTCTCTCTCTCTCTCTCTTTTACAAGGGGGCAGGCCAAGCAGATCAAGAGAACTAACGACCACGGGCTGCTCCCCACCCCCCCTCTCCCCCCCTTCCCCTTCCCCTCCCCACCCCACCTTCGGTGGCAACTCGTGGGAGCCTCCCATACCGTGCCGTCGGTTCCTGCGAATCGACGCGAAGTGACGCGCGAGCCGACGCTAATCGACGCTAAATCGGTGCTATCTCATCGACTCCTACACCGACGCTAAAAATCGGAACCAAGAGGGTACACCTGGCTCCCATGATTTGCTACCGAACCGCCGCCCCTCTCTGTCTCTCTGTCTCTCTGTCTGTCTGTCTCTCTCTCTCTCTCTCTTTTTCAGCGAGGCGAGACATGGCAGGGGACGAGACTGCTGGACGTGCCCGTGCCGCTGCTGCTGCTGCTGGCTGCCATGCTGTGGTGCCCGGGCATGCCTTCCGAGTCCCCCGGAGGTCTCCGCCGACCCTGGCCAAAGGAGCCGCAGACGCGGACGCCCCCCCCCCCCCGTCTTGACGGCCAGGGGCGCTGCCCTCGGACAAACGGGGGGGGGGGAGGGCACGTCCCGTGGGGGGCCACTGCCACCGATGGGCCCCGCCAAGGGGCCCTCTCGGAGGAACATCTAGCACGACCCAGGGCCCTACCATTAAGTCGGGCCTGTCCCCCTGCAGGGGGATTTTCTACGAAAAATTAAAAATATACCAAAAATTATAAAATCAAACTAAAAATAGTGGGGGGACTATTTTTGTTGAGGATGTTTTGACCTTCTTGGAGTATGTTTGGGGTATTTTTTATTTTTCGTCGAACATCCCCCTGTACGGGGACACGCCCGACTTAACCCTACCACTACCGCCCTCCTGCGAGGACTGCTCGGCAAGCTTGCCGAAATCTGCCTGGTGGAGCGCAAGAAGCGCCCAGCTTCAGCCAACCCTGGAGCGAGAGCGTAGCTACACGGATGGATGTGTTATCGTGTACGGCATGCGGCTTTCGCCATAGCGCCGCGCGCATCGTTTGATAAGACTGCAACAGCTAAGCGGATGGAGGTGGCTTATGTTCAAAGATGGCACTGAACACTTGCGTGCCAATAACAAACACGTGTGTAGCAACTACGCAGATAGGAGGGCGATGTTTCCAACATGGAGATGTCGATCGCGAATTCCAAATACCTTCCGATCCGAATGTGCAAAAGCGCAGCCGATACATGGTTGGAGGGCGGTTGCTTTATCATCATGGGGATATCTCTAGACGCCTGCAAACTTGAAACCAAGTGCAGGTGTGATTACCACAAGGCAGGTGGGACGAAGAAGATGGGACCTCGATATGGGGCCACGAACGTGCGAGGGGTGCGCCAAAATTGGCGGGGCGGCGCATGCTGGCGCTGCGGAGCTCCATGTGGGGCCACGACAGGGCGAGGGGTGTGCCGAAATAGGCGGGGGAACGCATGCGGGCGCTGCCACTGGGGCCTTCGGTGGAGCTCCCGATGGGGGCACGATGCGTGTGAGGGCTGTGGCAAAAGTGGCGAGGGGACGTGTGCCACTGGGGCCTCTGGTGTAGCTGCAGGTGGGGCCACGAAACGTGTAAGGGGCGTGCCGAAATAAACGGAGGGACGCACGCGAGCGGTAGACTGGGGCCTTCGGTGGAGCTATGGTGCCACGGAGCATGTGAGAGGTGTGGCATAAGTGGCGGAGGGACGCATGCGGGCGCTGCTACTGGGGCCTTCTGTGGAGCTCCCTATGGGGCCCATGGGGCCCAGACACGTGTGAGGGTGTGCCAGAATGGGCCGGGGGACGCATGCGGGCGCTGCCACTGAGGGCCTCGAAGGAGCTCCGTGTGGGGCCACGAAACGTGTAAGGGGCGTGCCCAAATAAGCTGGGGGACGGAAGCGGGCGCTGTCACTGGGGGCTTCGAAGGAGCCCCCGATGGGGCCACGAAACGTGTAAAAGGCGTGCCACGATGGACGGGAGGGACGCATGCGGGCTCTGCCACAGGGGCTTTCAGTGGAGCTCCCTATGGGGCCACGAAGAGTGCGAGGGGTATGATCAGTTGGCGGGGCGCCGCATGCGGGCGCTGCCCCTGGGGGCTTCGATAGAGGTCCCAATGCGGCAACGACACGTGTAAGGGGCGTGCCAAAATGTGCAGGGGGACGCATGCGGGCACTGTCACTGGGGACTTCGGTGGAATTCCCGATGGGGCCACGACGGGTGTGTGGGGTGTGCCGGAATTGGTGCTGATGACGATGGTGGTGCTGATGCTGATGCTGCTGCTGATGATGATGATGATGATGATGATGATCATGATGATGATGCTGATGATGATTATGATTATGATGCTGATGCTGATGCTGATGCTGATGCTGATGCTGATGATGATGATGATGATGATGATGATGATGATGATGATGATGATGATGATGATGATGGTGATGGTGATGGTGATGGTGATGATGACGATGATGATGAGGGGGAGGAGGAAGAGGAGGGGGAGGAGGAGGAGGAAGAGGAAACAGGAAGGAGGAAGGAATGACGCGGGGCGCTGTCTTGTCAAAACGAGGACGCAACACCACAGGATGGTTTGGAAACTGCTATCATGAGTGGCTCCTTCTCAGAGCGCGGCTCCCCTGAATGGCAGGCCCATGTGGGCGGTCGTCTTTCTAAGTGGAAATCCCTGCAGTGGAACGGAGCACAGGACTTGTGAGCATGGGACGTGGGACCGGCGGTTGTGTTGCAGCATTGCTGATGCATCCTGGGATTGATCCTCATCTCTTCCTCCTGCTCCCCATTCCCTTGTAAATCCATCCTTCCTTCCCCGCCCCCATCCATGTCTGTCTCTGTCTCTCTCTGTCAGTCTGTCTGTCTGTCTGTCTTTTTGTTTGTCTGCCTGTCTATCTCTCTCTCTCTCTCTCTCTTTCTCTCTTCTATACCTCTCTCACTCTCTCTTTCTCTCTCTCTTCTCCCACCCGATCCACCTGCTCCTTCCCCTTTCCACATCTACGCGATACGAATGCCACCCTCCTCTCCTCTCCCCCGACCTTGCGCCCACATGTTCCCAACTTTCCCGCGCACAAGCGTCCCACGCACGTGGTGTCACGATCGGGCTGCGGGGAAGAAGAGGATCAAGGATCGACCGAGGATCGAGGAGGAGGATCGAGGAGGAGAATCGCGGAGGAGAATCGAGGATCGAGGAGGATGAAGAGGAAGAGGAAAAGGAGGAGAACGCCGTTTAATCGGAACGTTCCCGGTCCTTCCAACATGTCTCCGCTGCAGGGCTGGCCAAAAAGTTACGGGTCGGCGCCCAGCTCCCGCAGTTCAGAATGATGCTCTCACCCCAGCGCGGGCCACATGTCTGCATCAAAGTCCTTCCTCGCCGTTGCCGTCCTCCTCCGTTCCCCTCCTTTTGCCTTTCCCCGATGCTCCTGCTCGGCCGCACCTGGCTCCTGCACCTCCTGCTCCTGCTGCTGCTGCTGCTGCTCCTCCTCCTCCTCATCTCTAGCTTCATCCTTCTCTTCCTCATGCTCATCCTTCTGGTCATCCACCACCTCCTCCTCCTCATCCAATGCGCGAACTCGTTCTGACTGCGTGTCACACGATTGGGTAATTTGGGGAAGCACGCTCCTCCAGGACGCCCCAGCAGTCGGCGGATAGAATATAATCCAGCGCAATGGGAAGGACTGGGCGGGAAGAGCAGGATGTCAGATGTAGGGCAAGCGCACCTAGCTTGTCCCCTGCGCCCTGCGCATCTTCTGCACCTACCTCCCCTCAACCCCCCCCCGTCCCCTCCTGTCCCAGCTTTCACACTGGAATGGCTTGGGACGGGGGGGGGACCGCGGGAAGGAGGGAGCAGGCAGGAGGGGGAGGGGATGGGGGGGCGAGGGGATGTGTGAAGTTTTTTTCAGCATGATGGAGAGGAGCAGGAGAATAACGGCAGCGACGACGATGACGACCACGATGACGATGACGATGACGATGACGGTGACGATGACGGTGACGATGACGATGACGATGACGATGATGATGATGACGATGATGACGATGATGATGATGATGATGATGATGATGATGATGATGATGATGATGATGATGGTGACGACGACGTCGATGATGATGATGATGCTGATGCTGACGATGATGATGACGATGATGATGTTGCTGAGTACGGTGATGATGATAATGATGGTGGTGATGATGATGATAGTGGTGGTTATTGTGGTGATGATGGTGATGACGCTGACTAGCAGAGTCATGGTTATTGGTAGTACTACTTATGACCATGATCATGGTGAGGATGATGTTGGTGATACTGATGATGGTGGTGGCGATGATGATGATGATGACGATGATGATGGTGGTGGCGGTGATGCCGACGATGTCAATACCAACTATGACGATGGTGACGACGACGACAACGACAGCGACGATGATGATGATGATGATGATGATGATGATGATGCTGATAATGGCCATTATGACGATCCTGAGTATGCTGTTGATGATTATGCTGATGATGAGGAAGATGTTGCGATAATGACGCGGAAAAAGACGATACTGATGATGGAAGCGATGACGACGAGGATGATGCTGATGATGAGGATGATAATGAGGATGGGGATGATGATGATGATGATGATGATAATGATGATGATGATGATGATGATGATGATGATGATGATGATGATGATGATGATGATGATGATGATGAGGATGATGATGATGATGATGATGATGATGATGATGACGTTGATGATGCTTCTAGTGATGAGTATGACCCGTCCCCCCCGGTGGGACTCTCCCGTGGTCTTGGTCTACCGCTGTAAGAAAACCCCCACCGAAACGCTGTCCAGGACAGGCACGGTAAGGCCAGGGACGAGAACGACGGCGGGCGGGAGGGCGGCCCGTGGCGGGCGGGCGCGCCGCCTGCAGCAGGAAGAGGAACGTCTGCTTGTAGAGCATGGCCTGGCAGCGGGACCGGGCTCGGCGGCGGCGTCGTCGTCGGCATCGTCGTCGTCGCCGTCGCCGGCGTCTGCGTCGGCGTCGGCGTCGGCGTCGTCGTGGGCGTCGGCGTCGTCCGCAGCGTCGTCGTCGTCGTGGGCGGCGGCGTCGTCGGCGGCGGCGTCGCGCGGGGCGCCCGCGGCCGCGGCCGAGCGGCCGCGCCAGCGGCGGCCCCCGCCGCAGGCCTGCCCGGGTCACGGCGCCCTCGGGCGTTCGTCGTCGTCCTCGGCTCCCGCCTTCGCCGTCGTCGTCGCCTGCGCGGTCGTCGTCCTCGTCGTCGTCGGCCTCAGCGTTGTCGTCGTCGTCGTCGTCGGCGGCGGGGGCGGCGTCGTCGATGTCGTCGTGGCCGTCGTCGTCGTGCCTGGCTTCGTCTCCGTTGTCGTCGTCGCCGTCAAGGACGCCAAGACGCAACCAACGACCCGGACGAGTCGTCCCCCTCCCCCGACCGCCTCCTCTTCCTCCTCCTCCTCCTCCTCGAACTGCGGATGCTCCCACTTCTTTTGTATTAAGCAAATGGCCCTCGGGGAACTTCTTAGAGCATCTGGGATCGTATCGTTCGCGTGGCGAGCCAACAAACAAACATGGAGCTGCAAAGCGGGCTTCGGCGTAATGGCCACAAATCCCACCAGCCCTCTGGGCGTAGGTGGTCTCACGATGTCTTCCTTTCCTCTGACCAAGCCCTCTTCCCGTCGGGGAGGGGTACCATCTCCCTTCCCTTCCATGATTTTTGTTGGAGGGGGGAGGGGTGTCGCCAGGGGTTAGAGCGTCCAAGATGGCCCAATGTGGCTCCAAGAGGGCCTCCGATGCTCCAAGATGGCCTCCAAGATGGCTCAAGACATCCGAAGATGGTTCAAGACAGCTTCAGACATGCTCCAAGAGACCCCAAAGACCGCTCCAAGACGACCGCACGACCGCAAGCGCTCTCGGAGCCCCTCGGGACCCCCGAAGAGGCCAAACATCCTTCAAAGACCAAAGAGGACATTGACTGTTGCCTTCTCGCCTTTTTGGGTCCCGATGGGCCCGAGATGCCCCAAGCGAGACCCAAGCTAGGCCCGAGAGGCCCCGCAGACGGCCCCAAGAGCGCTCAAGAGCGCCCCAAGGGGGCCCCGAAAGACGACTTCGAGGACACCAGAAGGGGGGGGCAATGAGGCAACCGAGGGCACCCCCCCACTAGAGCCCCAAGAGGGCCCCAAGACTCCCCAGGAAGAGCCCCAAGAAGACCCCGAGACCCCCCGAGAGAATCCCAAGAGGGCCCTAAAAGAGCCCAAGAAGACCCCGAGAGACCCCAGCAGGAAGGGCGTTGGAAGTAGATTGGGCTTCCGCCCGCCCCCTGAAGAGGAGGGAAGAAGCAAAAACGCCCGACCCTTGAAGTAGGAAGGCGCCGAAAATAAATTGGGATCTGGAAATCCAAGGATACCTACTTTCAACAACCGACGTGTCACTCGCTTGATCCCCGCCGGTCGATTGGAGAAGAATCGCCAGGCCCTTAGTGATGGCAGGCCAAAAACTTATCTGATGTGCCTGCTTGAGAAAGAAGGTTAGCCGGGTGACACAGTCAGGGGGGGGGAAACGACGATCTCTCGCCGATACATCGGCGATGGGCCCTCGATTGTGAAGCCGCACGTTCCTGGGCGGGCCGGAGTTATCGGGCCCCTACCTACCGGAGATGGGCATGGGGGGTCCGCGCACCCCCCCCCTGAGCCCTGAGCCGATTCCCCCCCCCCTGACGTTGCCCCTGACTGGTCTCGGCATTCGGGTCGTGTCAATCGGCTCTCTGGCGGCCGCTCGGGACGATCTGGGTGCCCGCAGGAACGCTCTCAGCGAGGCGCAGCTGCTGGAGAGCACCCGGAGGCTGGAAAACCGCCGAGTGCTTCCGTACTTGGGGAAAGCAAATGGTACCGATGCCGCTACTCCCCGGACCTCTCCTGGGGTGCACTCCG